AGTCACGTCAAAACGTCAGTTATAAAAAAACAGATATGTATGCATGTAGGTAATTTTATTTTTTTCTGAAGTTCCATTTTACTAAGACATATTGTTTTACAAAAAAATCTAATCAACTCCTACTCTGGCAACACTGATTCTAATACTCATCTACATCGTATATTGAAATAGTCAATTTATCTTTACTCAAGCTCTTTTAATATCTTAGTTCAAGCTCTTTTAATATACACTGTATATACTTAAGCGTTGGACAAATGAACTGAGCGATTAAGATAGCTAAAATATTTTTTTTTTCTTAATAAGTAATTTAATAAATTACGACAATGCATGGATAAAATAATAATACTTTTTTCTTGAATTACGGCGGTGAACTCTTTTTTCTTTTGAATCAAGTTTAAAAAGGTGACGTCTCAATTATATTACTTTTAATTTATTTTTGCTGCCCGATTTTAATGTTTCAGCAGTTTATGTTTTGAATAAAAAATAATCAACTGGTTTTACCACAATTGAAGTCGGTTTTTTGTGGAACCCTAATCTTTATTCTGTAATCTATAAAGTAGAAAGAAGGTCAATAAAATGCAACTAACATAGTGTAATTTTACGATTTACTTTAATATGACATCTTAAAATGGAACATTTATGTTTTATGTTGAATAAATACGAGGCCCGATTTGTAACAGTTTATGAAAGTAATAGAGGTATAAAATAAAATGTTTAGTACATGTCAATGTTGCACTAAAGGAACGGAGACATGTATTGGTTTGATTGTTTATTTTTTGTTTTATTTGTGATATATATATATATATATATATATATATATATATATATATATATATATATATATATATATATATATATATATATATATATATTCTATTTTATTATTTAAAGCCGTTAAAGCTTTTGTTTCATTTGATTAACAAACATCCTAATATTTAAGTATAAATCTTATTTATGATGTTATTTTTAAAGAAACATAAACATCCTTAATAGCATATATGCAATAGGTGAGAAAGAATGAGTGAAAGATGAAGAGAGAACACTTATTAGCGGCATTAGTTTTTAGTTACGACATGATATGTTCACTGACTGTTTCATAGTGATTCGTTAAGTTTATAACGCAATAATACTAATTTTTACCCGCGACGTCGTCGTCGCATGACTGGGATTTTTTTACTGATCAGGATAAAAGTATATTATATCCTATATCCTTCTCCACCTCATATATTGCATGTATATCAAATTTAATAGTGACTTGTTAAGCGGTTAAGATGCTACAAGGTAACAAACAAACGAACACACTTTTACATTTATAATATTAGTAAGGATGTAGTTTGTTACGGCCGATGTCTTTGTTTTTTTTTCCGGAGTTTTTTTCAAAATGTGTTTGTGCTTATTTGTAATAAAAATAAGATGTAGTGAATTACTATACTTTTGTATCAATAATTCCCTTTATCAAAATAGACTACTAAGATATTATGTATTATTCTTTTATGTATTAATGTTTTAAATATGTGAGGTATTTTTTATAATTAGGGTATGATGAGGCTGACATATCCTTATAGGATAAAAGCCTCTAAATAAAAAAGATAAAAAATAAGATGTAGTGCAGTGTAATTATTTCACAATTCCAAACTAATTGAAACTTGGACGTCCGGGACTATTCAACAATTATTCTTAGTTAAAACTTAGAGACGGCGATGCCGATAGACTGTTCGAGATGAGTTTATTCTGCACTTTACCGAGTTAAATTAAACTTTTTGTTTTCTAGACGATAACGGACGTAAATATACGAGACATCTTATGGGATGATGTGAGCAGGCCTGGCTTTAGTGTACGCGGCGATGCCGGAGAAAGTTTTTAACAAGCAAATGCTCCACCTGATAGAAAGTTATATCCATTTCATGGGTGTCAATAGAAACATCATAAACTACCCACTCTTCAAATTGAAACAGCCATGTGATCGCAGTTGGCTGTAAAAACACAAATTGCACAAATATTACTAATAAACATGATTTTTATATAAAGCCTTTTTCTGATGTAGGTACTAATTCTTTGTTCAAGTTGCATTTATAATTTGTTTTGGGTTTTTTTTGCACTTTTTTTTTAATATAAAATCGATAATATAACTCGACTCTTGTCCACTATTTGATAAGATTGATCGATTGAGAGTCGGTCACGTCACGAATTGATCGTCATTTGACCTTCACGGGTGTAACATATTTTATCTTATTAGTACATTGTGGACGAGTGATAGGTGATATGGGTACTGTCCCCCAACCAGATTAGACGAGCAATAATACTTACACGTATCAAGTCTTAATAATATTTTTATTCTTCAAATAAAAACTACCTCGTCACCGTTTGAATCCAAATTATTTTAAACATGAAAATATGTAAAGATATGATGTTGTTTGTTACTTTATTGCAACAATAATATTTGAATATAATAATAATTTATAAACTCTGACGATTTAATTATGGTTGCTAACACTTCCCCCCCGGGCGCGAGAACTTTTCACGGTAGAACTGCAAAGGTAGAGATCATCCCTCCTCTTTGTTTTTCATACGAGCGACCCGCGATATCTAGATTGGGGTCGGAGTATGGTGGCATAAGCCCAGGTCTGTGCCCCTTGGGCGCCGAAAGACATACGCCGCAATCCATCGGTACGGAGGCGAAAAGATTGTTTGTAACGGGGCGGTTAGTCCCCTTTGCTATCAATATACCTTATCAGGTCGACCTCCACGCGGGTCCTCATGGAAACTATTGTAACTAATTTATCGTTGAATTCGTCACGATGGACTAGCTGACCTGCCTTTTCATCCTCACCTATCACCTCTCACTAGTACCCTGCCATTTTCACCCATTAAAAAAAACTCATCGGTACGGAAGAAAAGGGATTGATAATAATGGAGTCTAAGAGCCCCATTGCTAGCAATATCTCTTGTCAGGTTGATCTCCACGAAGTTTTCCTGGTTTTGTCACAATTGAAGTCAGTTTTTCTATGGAATACAGTTTTAATTATCATAGAAAAATACAAAAATTCATTGCGCGAATGCCGTTGCGAGAATAGCGAGTTTGTTTTAGAACTCTTGTTTTATAATATTGCCCCATGGAAACCATAAAAATGTGACTCAAATTTTAATTTATTGTTTTATGGTTAATTTTTAGATGTTTTGTTACAAGTTACTTGTAGGAGTACACTAACTTTTGAAGGTTGTAACTGAAGAAGTAGAATGTGTACTACGCATTTATTTGCATATTCATTTAATTTCTTGCCATACATAAATAATTCCCTCTTAACAGATGAGGCAGATGTGTTCCAGAAGGGAGACCACGAAGTGGCAAACTTAGTGTTAGATTATTTGTTGTAGGTAGAGCGACGATATATTATGTATTAGAATAGCATGAAATTACTGGAAGCAAAGGGCTCAAGATCGCCTTTAGTGAAGGCGATCTTGACCTCAAATTTTTGTGGTTTTGCGGCTTACCACACTGTTTCACCTTGCGATGGTCCCGGGTTCGATCCCTACAAAAATAAAGATAATTGTATTAATAAATATGTTTGTATTGGTCTGGATGTTTTCTATGTATATAATATGTAGTTATATATTTACATGAAATATGTATTTATGCGTTTCAATTGTAATATATTCAATTGTCTAGTATTTATTCGTACCAACAGTACAAGCTCCACTTAGTAGATGGCGCTGTGAAAAATATATCAAAGAAAGTGTTATTTATAATGATCTGATCTGATTCATCTTATACTGATGAAACATTATGTTTCATCAGTATAAGATGAATGATGAAGATATAGGGTAGTTTTGTAGTAGGTAGGGTTGCACCTGTCGCAGGTAAAATTATAGAGTCCAGGCAAAAGTGGTACGAAGATATAATGAGGCAACTGCGTTGTGAAGGCTAATAATTTTAATGGCTTTAAAAAAGAGAGGAGGAGGTGAGTCGTAAAGTACCTGGATGTTAAATGTCTAGAAGGGGGGGGGGGGTTAGCAATATCAGGTCGACCTCCACGCGGTTCCCCCTGGAAACCATCGTGATTAATTTTAGCTAACTGACCTGCTTTCATCCTCACCTATCACCCCTCACTAGTGCCCTGCAAGCGTATACCGATAGCGCGGACAGGGTTACCATTTCATTATCATTCATACAATATGAGTGGCGGGACCCTTTAAGTTTTTCTTTTTTTATATGACACAGGGGGCAAACGAGCATGCGGCTCACCTGATGGTAAGTGACTACCGCCGCCCATGGTCACCCACAACACCTACGGCATTGCAGGTGTGCTGTCGGCCTTTTAAAAAGGAATATGCTCTTTTCTTGAAGGTTATGTTGTCATATCGGTTCGGAAATACTGCTACTGGAAGTTGATTCCAAAAAATGGTTGTGCGTGGGAAAAAGTGCCTTGAAAAACGCACGGTGGAGGACCGCCACTCGTCCAGATGGTTGGGATGAAATTTTAGTTTATGGCGGGTTGTACGATGGTGAAAATCAGCAGCAGGTATTAATCCCAACAATTCTTCAGAGCACTCTCCATGATAAATTCGGTATAAGATGCACAGAGACGCAACATCTCTACGCAGTTTCAGTGGGTCGAGTCGGACAAAAAGAAAAAGTGCTGAGGCGACCTCCACATAAAATGAAGTGACGACTTCAAATGAGTTGCAGAGTGTTGAATGATGTAAGTGGTGTCGGGTCATATTTTGTGGTGGAATATGAGGGAGATCTATGTTCTATCATGGACGATGGACGGGTTGTAATAAGTAGTAAAAAAAAAAAGTATAATAATATCATCATCATCATCACTATATTAGTAGTAATAGGTAAAAACTAGTAGAAAGAATCACTTTATATCTATAACTCATCGATTAATATTTAAAGATATCGTAAACGGTTAGTTACAAAAGTTAATTCGAAAATTTGATTATTCGATCGATTATTCCACGTTAACTCGATTTGTTACGTTCTTGCGAATAAATAAGACGTTGCCACATCTAGTATTACGTAAAATACTTGATTAAATAATGGAAGCAATAAAAAGAACCATAAAGATGTGAAACAGTATAATTCCGATTTTACAGAAGGCGGCTGTGTAAATATACATATACTCGTATGTACCTGTTTTATGTCAAGTATTGTTATTTGGAAAATTTTCAACCGACTTCAATAAATAGAGTTACTAAAATTTTAGTTTTTGTGTTTATGTATGTATTGCATAACGATGTATTTATTAATTCTGTATTATTACTGTAAATTAGCCCTGTGGTCCTAGCATAGAATGGGCCACTCCTTCCTAACCTGTGGGTGTCGTAAGAGGCGACTAAGGGAAATTGAAGATGGAGAGATGGGTAGCAACATCTCTTTTAAAATATCACCAAAAGTCTAACTACGGTTGGCAACTCGTAAAAGGGTACTACTGGCAAACTATTGGTAAAACCCCATTTATGGGGGAAGCCTATGTTCAGCAGTGGACAGTTAGCGGCTGATATGAATGATGAATGAACTGTAAATTTGATGATTATTTTGTTAATAAATAGTACCATTATAATAGTCGTATACTAAATTTAAATTTCAAATTTTTCCAAATGATGAAGGTTTGTTGTTAAACTCAGGGTGCCATAAGAGGAACTTGGGGAATAAAGCATATAACCGTTTGGTCTACATGTATAGTAGTATAAGCAATATGATTCTGTTAGGGAAAGAGATTCGTGGAAATAGTTCTTTAATGGCTTGTTAAGATATTCAATTAGTTGGCTAGTTCATCAATATACAAGTTCTGCATATATTTTTTTTAAAAATACAATGAGTTCATTAATCTCTCTTATTTATATAAATAAGTTTTGCATACTGTGGAACTAGATGACACTGATTTAAATTTAGTGACATTATTTGTTATAAATTTTTACTTATATGAATATGAAGAGTAATTTTTTTTTTGATGGGTGAAAATGGTATGGTAACTCTGCCTACGTTAACGGTATACGCTGGCGGAGCACCAGTGAAGGGTGATAGATGAGAATGAAAACAGGCCAGTTAGCCCATCATGATGAATTTATCAGGAATTAACCATGATAGTTTCCAGGGGGAAACGCGAGGAGGTCGACCTGGTTGGGTATATTGCTAGCAATGGGATTCTCAGTCTCCATTACTAACAATCCCTTTCCCCCCGAATAGTAGTATTAATAATTTATTTTTGTAAGAAAAATCAACCAGTAAAAAATAGTGATTGGCTTGCTCTGGCCAGAAACCTAAATCGACATTCCAAACTTATCATTGGATGCATTTATATTACATGAGATAATAATGAGGTTGTATTATTTCCACATAACTTGTAATATAGTAACTCCGCAACACATTTAAATACGAAACCAAGAGTAAATGATAGGCAATAAACAAATATTCTTTCGAGATCTGAGTATACATTTCAGCAATTGAGATACCAAACAGATTGAGACATTCAAAATCGTCAAGTGTGAGCTAGAGGGCGTCGCATGAAAGTTTCATGTAGCCCAACTGTTTACTCTACAGCCTTTCAGTTGTTCAAACATTCTACGATGCGGATTACCGCGCGATAACGTTTGAGATTCTAAGATTGATTTTCAATGAGATGCTTTACTAGGAAGATTTGCGGTATATGGAATTTTATAAGACCTATTTTTGTAAGTAATATAATTTTTTATAAGACAGATCCTTATTATGAGCATTCACAAGAATCTATGATGCATATCATCTTGCGGATAGGTTGCTATACTATACAAGCATAAATTTTTTGTTGTTATTTATCATAAAATATTAGTTTATTTATCAAAAAATAGGATGGCCGGTCATATTAGTTAGTGATGGTGAATAGAAAAGAAGGCAATCAGCGTTTAGAACAGGACGTCGAAGCATCGATTAGAAAGATGGCCCTTCTAAATGAGCCGATTATACTAAGAATATATGAGTGTTTTTTTATATTAAATCCATTTCTTACGCTAATAGCTACTGTTTTTTTCTTCTCTTCTCAACCCAAAGGTTGTCTGGAAAAGGTTTCTTAGCGATAAGACTGCCTTTTGTACTTTTAAGTGCAATGTATATATTTTTTTATTAATGTACAAAGAAGTAGTTCAATAAAAAGTGAATAAACAAATAAATATAGCAGGAAGCGGATGGATGCGGAAAATAGAACGTCACATATAAAGAAAAGCATTGCGGAAGGCTTATATTCAGCAGTGGATAGGCAGGCTGACATCATGATGACAATTAGTTATGTTTTAATTTTGACAAGAAATAATGACGTTGCATATATACGCGGTATAAACTCTTAACGTATGAAATTAGATTAGTACGTTTAAGATAAGTTTATCTTGGAATTTCCTCAGTATATACACATGAATGTAGACAGCAATGATAAATAACTTTATCTAGGCAATACCTACTAGAAGAAATTAGGTGCATGAAGTGGGTATTACCAAAAACATTGTTTTGTATGATATAACACGACTCACGTGATGGTTTTTTGAACAATGTCAAATCATAGTTCGTTAGGCGTATGTATAACTCCTATAGTACTATTCCTTATACTGTGGTAAAACTAAGAATCTATGAGTACTATCATGAATTACTAGTGATCCGCATAGAATTCGCACAGTTATTTTTAAAATAAAATTAACACATGTAACGTTGTAACCATGAAAGAATGTTTAAAATCGGTTAAGTATTTATTGATTTTACTCATTATAAAATTAACATTTAGTTTGTTTTATTTTTTATACAGCTTAGAATGGCAAGCGAGTTGACGTTGCACGTGATGGAAACTGGAAACCAAAAACGTACCATGGATATAAAAGAGTATACTACGTCGCCCATGATATCCTTCATGCGTTGTCTTTCTTGAGGACTAAGCTGTTATGGTTCAGTATCTTATAATTTCTTAATTTTCAAACTGAAACACAATTATGTAGACACAACTATTTCTCGGCTGAAGCACAAATTGGAGAGAGGTAGCCAAGCATATGACTTTTGTACAAAGTCTGCCTCTAGTGAAACAAAAATACAAAATTGATAAAAAATTTTGGGCCTCCCATATATCATATTATTTAGGTGCTAGGGTGCTCTGGTAGTATAGAAGGCCTAAAATGTTTTTGTCATTATTCGACATATGGTTCTTTAGAAAAAAAAAGTTGTTTCTTTAATAGAACACAAAGTATAGTAACTATTTCGTTTTCACCTTTAATATAAAACCTATTACACTGGCTTTTATATTAGATACAGAGTAGATAATGCATAATTTATGTATAATTAAATAAAACTCCTGATGCACCGATTTAAGGAACATTTATTTTTATTATTGTTCAAATATATAAATAGTTTTTATATATATATTACACGAAAAAGTAGCCATTTTATCGAGGATTTTAATTATTAATATTTGTGCAAAATAATTGTAATACCATTATTTATTCGTAATCTCTGAATTAACGAGTAAATAAACAAAATATTATAATAAATATAATAATAGTATTATTTACAATTAAAATAATATCTGTAACAATACACGAGTAAATTCTGTAATAACTTCCTGGAATTGAGTTCCCAAATAAAATATAATGAAAAAAATTAAATTAAGAAATTTTATTTATTTGAAATTCTATATTGACCCCATTACAAAAAAAAAAAAATACTTAACTAACGTTCTATTGATGAAATTCCTACTTTAACTATAGATTAAATAGTTATAACCGTTTAAATGAACGTGTAATTGCTAAGATTAAATTGAACAGTCAACCGGTCTGAGTTTGTTCCATGGAAATTGATTGAGTAAAACCGTAAAATTTTAATTCAGTTCTTATCGGAATGTTACTCAGAATAGTGCTCTTTTCACTTTTGGTGAGTATTTATTTTTTGTTTTTTTCCTATAAAGGTTAAAGTAAAAATTATATTAACAAATTACAAGGAGTAATTATTGGTCAGTCGTATATCTTGACATGAAATAGATCACCTCTTGCTTTCCAGTGAATGTCGTAAGAGACGACCAAATGAGGGCGAGGGATGAACTGCGGTTACCTATCTGCCTACCAAGCGTGGCAACTACTGGCAAAACCTCCTTAGCTGATACGATGATGATGATATTACTGGTCAAATTGAACATTTTTCGTAAAGGAACATGGGTTAAAAATAAAAATAAAATGGTATGCCTCTATTAAATATTTTATTGTCAGGTTCGTATGGGAGATGCTGGAATCTCAAACTAAAAATACGCAAACTACAAATTACATTATTCCATTTCTATTAGAGATAATAAAATACCGTACTGTATATGATATTACTTTAGAAAGATCAATTTTTTTTCAGGTGTCATTTGTACATTTAAGAAGTTTAGACGAGGATAAACTTTTATATTGGAGACGAGGTATGTTAATTTAAATAATCAAGAATAAGTACTAAAATCAAATAATAAAACAAAATGTAAAACGAATGAATGAATAAGTAAATGTATTATTAGTAATAAATTTATTATATTTTTGTTATAATAAGTTTAATAAATAATATGTATTTGATATTTTTGTGTAATATATGTACGTTTTTGTATTTTATGCATGCAAAAACTATTAATTCACTCTTGTGCCACCTATCCGTTCTAAAATTATGTAATTTGAAATTATGTTGATGCTGGAAATTGTTGGAACTTGGTGATTTAAAATTAATTATCAATACTGTTTTAACAAGGTATTTTTGTAGATTTTCAAGAAATTAACAGCAATAACTGGTAAATTGCATTACTGTTGTAATATGTAGAGAGCGTCATGGTCTAGTCGTATACTACTTTCGACTTGCAGACCGCAAAGGTCGTGAGTTCAAATCTGTCCGACACAAATAACTTGGAATGTCAATTTGAAATTTCTGAATAAATCTTCGGTGACAAAAACACCCATAATTTCTTTTGTGCAATTTACAATGGCAAACAAACTGACGGCCCATCTTTGTGTGTAAGTGTTAACCGTTGCCTATAGACATGAACAGTCCCATGGACATAATAGAGTATACTGTGTCGCCCGTGATACCCTTTATGCTTTGCTATTGCTGAGGACTAAGGTGTTATATACGTACATATATACCCTGTAATTTGATTGTCATATCCCATCCTTCAAACCGAAACACAGTCATGCATACACAATTGCTTGATGTGGGAAAGAGGTACCCAAGTAGATTACTAACCACATTAATGCTACTAACGATAGAAGAGTTGTTCTCCGCCTTGTTGACATTTAATATGCTTATCGAAATGTGGGTATTCGAATGATACGTTTATCACAACGATATCAGTTGACAAATGCCTCTGTTACCCCAGTAGGGATTATAGTCGTGAGCATATTTATTTATTTATATGCATTATTATTAATTTTCTTGTTGTCTCTATATTTTTGTACTGCACTGTAAATGTAGGTCAAATTATCTTTATAAGTTAGAGATAGTCTCTTAATAACATTTACCTGAAGTTGCCCCAACTCAAGTCTATCTGTAGATAGGCAATTGTCAACATAACAATGTAACATCCAAGTATTTTTGTATTAGAGTAAATAGTTATATTCTAAAAGATTTTGTGACAAGTAAAAAAATATACTTAATACTTGTATTCCTTTTATCTGGAATACCAAAAGGTTTCTTTATTTAAAAAAAATATCTGTATATTAAATTGGAAGGAATTTTATCTTTTCTTTTTTAAATAAAATATTAACTAAGGAGACGACCATCTAGCTTAATACAAGTAGAGTCTGTTAAATATAATTTAATGAAAAGGCAACCAAATTTTGTTCAAATTATTACAGAAATTAGTGCCTATGAATAACGTTCTCCTCCCTCTCTCCCTATTCCCGTATTGAGAAAGAAAAACCACGCAGTGACGAAATAACAAGTCAGTTCATCATAATTTCAATTTATTTAGATGTATTACAGGTAAATCATGTAGACTATAAATGTTTAGATTCTAAATGCAGTGTTGATTATTGAAAATGTCCCTAAAATGGTTCCTAAAAAGTCAACAAGTTGGCTGATATGGCTATTTTTCATTTATATTGAATGTTCAAATAATCAATCTTTTGTCAAAATATATGAAAGTCTATTAAGTTTAATAAGTATGATTGACGATATTATGAGTGTAAATAATTAAAATTACTGTTAATTATGATATTTATTTATCTCAATATTACATCTGAAATCAACAGCTTATATATAGAGTAATTAAAAATATTATATTTACACCATATATTAGTCAATTACAGATTCTCGATTTGTATACCAGTAGAGATGGGCAATCCACCTGGGTGGGTTTAAAGTCTGGTGGGTAAAAACCGGGTGTTTTGGGTTTATTGGGTTTAAACCCCATAAACACCCAAATTTTTGGGTGTTTATGATTTTGTACTTCATCATCGTCATCTCAGCCGCAAGACGTCCACTATACTGGACATAGACAATATTATTATGCAGCCTACAGAATAAAAAACTTTTAATTTGATTTTGAGTTTATTAAGAAAGAGATGAAAGTAAAATGTAAAACTACAGTCAATCACTGTCAGATTCAGAGTTATTACAAGCGATGAATTGTATAGGTTCGATAGGCTCTATTTCGTCTAAACTGTTATGTTCATTTACTTGCTCAATGAAAGCTTCTAAGGTATTTTCTTCATTAAACTGAATGTCCTCGCATTCAGCTTTATGTTTAAGATTCCAGTTATAACAAATGAATGAAATTTTTTCAGTTCTTTCAGTTGTAAGTCGATTTCTTTTGTTATTATGTATGTAGCCTTGGATACTAAAGGAACGCTCAGTGGCTGCCGAAGTACAGGGAGCTGATAGAATACGAATCGCTACTTTGCTTAACTCAGTGGAACCACAAATACCTTTCCACCATATTAGGGGCTCAATGCTATCTAATGAGCTCCATACAAATCCTCTGGCCCAAAAGTTTTCTTTAGCTTTATAACACGCCAAATCTGCCATTACATTTGACAAACTTAAGTGTTGGCTTAAATTGTAGATAAACTCCATACCCTTAAGTTCTTCCTCTTGAGTAAGTTCGACTCCTAGAGTCCTGGGGTCTAGAATATATGCTGCAAAATGTATTGGCCTCATTGCCATATTGCATCTTGAAGATACTGATGTTAGAATCTGCTGTTTGCTTTCTTCGCTCAATGTCGAAATCTCATTTAATGCAAAACGTATCTTAGCTTGTACATCTCTAAATGTAATGTATGTGCGATGCAAACGATTCTGGTCGCTCTCTAAGTAAAATATGCTTTCAGTGACTGGTTCCAAAATACTTATACATTCCCCTGTCTTCGTCCAGAAATCATCACTTAGAATTAAATCTTTAATATCTCTTGAAATTACCACATCTTCTCTAACTGTTAATATTTGCAAAGCTATCTTATTTGCTTTCAAACTTTTTAACGAAGTAACATGACTTCCCCATCTTGTAGCACAAGGCAATTTTAGTGTTTGTGTAGAATCTTCACCCTGCCTTGATTTTATCAACAAGGAACTTAATCGTTGACTCCTTTTAACAGTTTTTATTATATTTATGGCTTGCATAATAAACACAGTTACTTCTTGTATCTTTACAATATCTTGGCACAACAAGTTAAGGATATGTGCACAGCAACCGAGAGGAACAACATGTGGATATTTGAGTTTTGTTAATTCGAATGCCTTTTGTATATTTCTAGCGTTATCGCCAATAAGTACAAGAAACTTATTTGCTCCATACACTTTCATTACTTTTTCAACTTCTTGGCTAAGGTATTCACTAGTGTGAGGATTACTTTCTGTATTCAAACTTTTAACGTATGCAGGTTGAGGTTTTGATATAAGAAAGTTTATTATTCCTTCATTTCTTAAATTAGACCAGCCATCGCACTGAAGGTGTAAGTAACTACAAGCATTTAGTTCCTCATTTAACTCAAAACGCATTTCTCTATATATTTTATCTAAGTATTTTGTCGCTAAAGCTTTACGTGAAGGTATTTTAAATTTTGGTTGCAATTTTTCGAAAAATTGTATCCATAAAGGATGTTGCACCATCGATAATGGCGTCCCTGTTACAAATATAGCTCTCGCTAATTCTGTTTTTATATGATCATCGGTGTCTTGAAACTCAGCATTTATTGTAGTGTTAGCAGACGACGAGGGGCTTATAAAAGAATCATTTGTCTCTATCTCTGACAGTCCAGACATTTTGGTTTTGGACGAGCTATCTTTTATAAGTTTCATAGAGTCTTTTAATGTTTCTGGAGATTTTGGACAAGTGATAAGATGTTGAAGCATTTTGGCAGCATTACTGAATTTGTAGACCTTATTACAAAGCTTGCAAGAAACAGACTTGTTTGGTAAAGTACGGTAGTGCTCCCATATGCGTAAATCTTTAGGTCTCCCCATTGAACCTAAAAAAATGAACGATGATTAGTTGGTCTGACGAAAATTCAACAATAGAGTGCCTATTTTTTTACAATGATTATTTCTTGTTATTTACAATAAATTTATTAAAAAAATAATAAAATAAATACAAAAAACCTTTGTAAAATTACATCTCCTCGGAGGATTAAACGCAGACGCTAGTTTATTATCGTATTGTTCTGTATTTTTCTCAGCAACTTCTTTAATTCGATTAGGTACTTACGCATATTATGTTAAAAATAAATATCTAGTACACATCTTAGGCTATCCACCATTATTATCCAATGACGACTCTCAGCTAACTATGCACTATCATCCAAAATAAACGTGTATGGAAAATTTTATCCCAGTCGGTTGAGGATTGAGGATAATTGCATCAACATACGAACATACCTACATACTTTTATTTACATAACGCAAGCTAAATAAAAGCTTGTAATAATACATCTAATTTTAAGTTAAAATTGTTAAGTGATCATGATATAATTGTATCATTCAAAAATCCACTTACCTTTAATTATTTCTTGTTAAGTATAAATATTATTTCAAATCTGCTCCCTTAATATGCACTTTTTTACTGCTTTTCCTACCTAACACGTTACCAGGAAGTCACGTTACCAGAGTCAGAGTAATAGTGAACACGTTTGACAGTGATTGTCGTCGCCTCATATTCAGCGTCGACGAATAGGGGAATCCCCAGTCATAATGTATTGCATGCGTGGCGGTCTTACTTCAAATCCATAAACAAAGAGATAATTACAGAACTCGATACTAGATGGCGCTGTTTTTGTTTGAAGAAAGTTTGCGGGCTAAAATACATAGAATTTCATCAATGACTTCCACAAAGAACAACATTTCTGTTTTTTCTAAGTCCGTATCTCTTCCGTATATTTCATAAGATATAAGCTTGGGCTACATTGTTATGCAACGTGATTTTGTCGCTGTCTTGCTAGCAGGGTTGACAGATATACGATTTAAATCGTACTCATACTATTATTTGTCTATTTTTTAATGTACGATCGTAAAGATTATGATCGTAATTCGCACAAAAACATACGACTTTTTGGTTACCTGGCAACATTTTTATTATGAAACGAACATGCTCACATCATCAGTCACATGCAACAATTTATTGGGGATTTCCCCTTCACATCTGGCAGTCCTGCTTGCTAGAATATAGGTAAGTCAGCCACAGTTACTGACGATCGATATTTAAAGGGTATTGTTTTTGTGCTAAATATTTCATAAAAACGTTATTTAATACTTTGTGGATTATTAATTTAGTTGATAATCACTGGAAGTAAAATGGATGCTAATTTGAGAGATCAAGATCTTCGTATAAAACAGTTAATAAAAGAAAATCTACGTAAGTACTCTTTTTATACCTAGGTAGGTAAGGTATAATAAACACAAAAGGTACTTAGATCGCGTGTGTTCGAAGCATTTATTCTAATAAATTTAATTTAAAATTGTAGAAAGAAAAAAATGTCTGCCAAGCCGTAGCCGAAGCCGATCTCCAAATATATTTGGCGATAGTGAGACCCAGTGTCCAGATGATTTACCCAGCGTCGTCGCAACAAAGAAAAAAAACGAGGATAAAGTAAAAGAAAATTTACTGAAAGAAGAAACAAACTGTTCTAAATGCTTAATTTATGGAGAAGAGGATAAAAGAAATGAGTATTTCGGACTGTTAGTGGCTCAAGAATTTAAATATATACGGCCATGTGTGCGAACGAGGTGTTATGAAGAAATTTTAAAGTATCTACGGGAAGCAAAAGGCCAACATGTTGATCAACTGCAACATGAAAACACTGAAAATTAATTACTTTCATTTTATTATATATAGATTTTTAAAATTTCCTGAAATATTATTAGTTAACGTTTTATTTAATATTGTAGAATTGATCAATACAATTTATAAAAATAATTTATTGGTATTACTTACATATTTTCAAAAAAATACGTAAAAACCTATTTTTTTGGGTGATTATGGGAGTTTATGGGTGTTTATTGGGTTTTTACCAAAGCACCGGGTTTAAACCCGGTGCTTTGCCCATCTGTATATACCAGACAATATTTTGCTTATTTTTGGAGGGTAGGTTAAATTAAACAGGAAAAAAATAATAAAATAAAATCTATGGAGACACTTATTTGAAACGTCGCATCACTGGAAGTTCAGCAATTATTTGTGTAAAAGTGTGTCTTATTTGTGTGCATAGTGTTGCGTGAATAAATATATATAAGTCACTACATTACAAATACAATTTTTAAAGCGTGCCATTTTAAAAAATTGTTAAGCTGTTTCTATAGGGAGACTAGGTTATTGATCTAGTACGCAGATGCATATTTAAATGTATTATAACTCCGCAATAAAACTGACAGTTATAAAACTGCGAAGTATAAGCCGATAATCCAGCAATAACATTTTTATTTGCAGCGAACGCGGCTGTTTGTGAACCATTTACGACTTCCCAAGAAGGGTGCAATAGATGTGTTTGTGCGGCTGATGGAGTCACTTATTGTACCAGGATGGCGTGTTTAAACAAACGTAATGTATTAATTATCGCCATCCTAACTTTAGTCTAATGAACATTGCTTTGCCTTACAGACTGCCATAAGGAACGGTCTTGCCCGAGTCACTTACATCCAGCAATTCTCTGTGTATATTGTCACATAATAATTGAATGAATGAATTCTTTATTGTGCATACTGTGGTAATTACAGGTTGATATGTAGGTAATATGGTGTACAATACAGTCTACTCGCTACAGGCGTACAATATTAAAATTATAAAAAATACAATATACAATTTCATTACAAATAATCAAAATACATTATTAAAATATTCTTTCAAATTATAAAAACATTTCTAAATAAGATTTTGATTTTTCCGTCATGTGACTAACATTAAAATAAACTTTGTTGGTTTTAAAAAGAGTTATTAAAACCGTTTCAGAATTAGTTTCTTGAATCGTGTCCTTTTTGTAGCAAATTAAAAAAAAAAAGTTAGTCTACCGTCGTCAAAGAAATTAAGTCGAATAAAAATTCAAAAAACGCTAGAACAATGAATAATTTTTTTTTTAATTTTTAACATGACATGAATGAATAATTTGTTAAATCTTTTTTCAAATAAAAAAAAAAACTCAATGTAATAGACGAAATTATCTTGTAATCTGAATCTGATATCTGAAAGTAATTTTTAAAATACTATATTATTATTTCCACTGTTTTTAAGTTTATTTAATAAATATACTTCGGTATATTATTATATGGCCATGTGGTCCCGGCATAGAATAAGTCACCCTTTTCCGTGGGTGTAGTAAGAGGCGACTAAGGGAAATTTATGGTTGAGGGATGAGCAGCAACATCCCTTTTTAAATATCATCAAAGCATTACTGCGATTATCAATCCGCCTGCCAAACGTGGCAATTGCAGGCAAGACGTAGCCATAGGCCTCCCACGTAAGAGTTATGTGGGAGTCTATGTTCGGCAGTGGACAGTGTTATAATGATATATAATTAAAAAAAATCGAGGTATTGAGATGTTGAAAGACTGTCTATCGTTATAAATAATATATATATTAATAAGGCATAGATAAATTTCTTTTTCTAGAGTAATATCGATATTTTTTATTCTTAAACGGCCTGCAAAAAAGTTTTTTTTTTTTTTAAGTAATGGTCTGCCAAAAGAAACGTTCCTACGAACGCAGACATTTCACACGGGACGCGTTCAGTTCTCATAGTAGGTAGCGTGGGAAATATGGGGTGTCAGTTTGTTCAGACTTGATTATTCGTATTTGAAATTTTATTGTATAATATTTTCTTAAGCGACTTCAAAAAGGAGAAGGAATCCATTTTTTTGTATCTTACTCGACATTTTCGTTCATTGTAAAATAATATTTTTTCAATTTTTGTATTTAATACAATTTACTATCGTGTTAAAGTTAAATGATAATGAATATAATTTATATAGATATATTACTTATATATTTATTATATATATTAACAACATATTTATTTATTTATTTAACTCTTTATTGTACTAGAAACAAAAAAAAATAATACAATAACAATTAAATAAAAAGATATCCAAATTGAAGTCTTTGTTTGTTAGAACAACATCACAAATACTACCTATTGAAAATAATATAAAAATAATAAATTATGAGTGAATATTCCATTTTATATTTATACGTATGTATTGCTTAACTAGTAATTTTTTAAATTTATTCGAATTATCATGTTTCAGGGAAACCTGACCAAAGATTTACGAAGAGTGATGAAGATGATGAAGAGAATGAAACTGCGGACTGATTAAATTAATTTTAGTTAAAAGGCTTTTTAAATACATAGAAAGAAAGAAATATTTTTGTTCAAGTAAACTTAAGTTTAAGCATTTTCGAATAGTCATTTTTTCATGATTCTATTGCGTATTCGGAACACAATTTCAGCTTCAATTTTTTTTATCTAAAAGTATATGCTTACAGATTGCTCTCATAGATATTTTATCAATATCGGTTTAGTAGTTTAATTTTTAAATTAAAATAACTAGTTTTGATTTAATTAAAGTAATTTTTTTATAGATCACAATTTAATTAAGATCTTATTGTTAAATAAGAAAATAACAATAAAAAAAAAAATAAACTAGACACCTCTCGAAACAGAAAATTCTACACTACATCATTACTATTCTTACTCGGAAGGGCCTCTTAACGATTTATCGGAATAAAGCTGTGTACCGTTATCAATCTCTTATCATTTCGCCTTTCATCTACAACAAATTCAATATTCCTTATGACAGCAATTTGAATGAGGTATTTCCAGAAACTCGTGGCTCCCTTCCCATGACCTCGGTTGCTTCCCGTGTGACCGCTACAAAAACGTTTTGGCCCAATGAATATTCTCATGGGTTCCCATTGGTACGTCCCTTATATTTTAGAGTAGCGCGTGCCTTCTCTTATAACGAGTGTGTTTCGAGTTAATCCTTCCTTGTTGAGTGGTTAGGGGATATATGATAATTGATAATGACATTACTGATTGCCCAGTAATTATAATACTTATTTTTTCAATACAAATTTAGAAAAGTTTCTTTTTATTTAATTTAGAAAAATTTAGAAAAGTTTTTTTTTTATTAATAGGCGATTTTAATATATTCAAGTAGGTAGCCATATTGGACATATGTATATACTTAAATACATATAGTGTGCAAGTTTAAATAGCAACTTGTCAAATAGCTCGAAGAACCGACAACTGATGGAGAATGAAGAAGAAAAGTTCTTGAGTAGCGACCTTGTACCAGCAAACGCAGTGTAGGACGACCCCTACTAGTTGGAGTGATGACCTCAAATGCATTTTTTTTATACAACTTAGAATGGCAAACAAGCTGACGGCCCACCAGATGGAAAGTGGTAACCGTCGCCTATAGACATGAGCAATACCATGGACATAATAGAGTATACTGTTTCGCCCATGATACCATCATGCGTTGCCTTCCTAAATTCACGCCATATCCCACCCTTCAAACCGAAACACAGCCATGCAAATACAATTGCTTCACGGTAGAAACACGAATGGGACAGAGGTACCCAAGCAATCGACTTTTGTACATGACAGTCTATAGGGGAGGTATATGTCCATCAGTGAACAGTTAACGGCTGATATGGTGTTGATGATGATGACACATAGTGTAAAATCCATTAAGTAATTTGTATTACACTATTCTGTCAAAGAATCGCACAATTTACACACATACTTACACTCATACAACATTATCCTCTTTTTTCGGTAGTTGGATAAAAACCGTCAAAGGCGACTTCCTGTTTTAGTTCCCCCATAAATAAACGATTGTGTATTAAGTTGATTCTAAAGGATCTGTCGTCAAAGACCATCGGTGGGCCAGTAAACGAGCGAGAATAGCATAAACAGATTTTGAAGTGATTATTAATAATTAGAAGAATTTTACACTTGAATAGCAATCTTAATAAAAATAAAAAAATTCTAACCGACTAAGAGAACTTAATAATTGTCGAGGTATAGGCAGCAACGTTCCCAGTGTCCCTCTTAAAATATCACCAAAGCCTAACTGCGGTTGCCAACCAGCATGCTGAGCGTGGCAATTACAGGCAAATCCCTTCAAACCCCTATCGGCCTATGTTTAGCAGTGACGTTTTTAACTACAGAGTTAACTGTAGACTGCAACACTGTAGTCAAAAAGTCGTACAAACAAGTACTTATTTCTATTTATCATTATCGTTAATTTTTCTATTATAGTAACGTATTGGTTACGGATTCGATCTCGAAAAATACAAACATAACAATTACCGTGTAAGTAAAGGGTTTATTTACAAAATAACAATATAAAGTAATGTATATAAAAAAATTGTACAGTGGAATGATAATTTTGTTCTTTGAAAGGTCAAATGACCGCTGTAGAATATTGAATACGAGTATTTAGTGGCCTACAACGGTCGTTTATGTCACGTGCGCGGGGCCCGTTCGTGTGTCTGTTATCACAACAAAAGGCGGTAACGTGAGAATGTACGTTGGAAGCTGTCATGAGAAATACTAATTTTCTATGGGAATTGAATTTTCGGTTTATTCGCATTAAACATGTTCTCTTTTTTGATAGGTATAACGTTTACATACGTACGAGAAAATATTACGAAAGATGTAAAAGTTTGTTTGTTACTTCATAGAACCTTGACGGATAAAAGGAGAAGGGATTGTTAATAATAAGAATTAATAGCCCCATTGCTAGCAATACACCTTGTCATGTCAACCTCCTTGTAATTCTTTCTGGAAATCATCTTGTTGAATTCTAAGTGAATTCATCACTATGGGCTAACTGACCTGCCATTTCATCCTTACCTATCATCCGTTATTGATGCGCCAGAGTATACCGTTAGCGTAAGCGAGCTTACCATTCCATTATCATATATTTAAAAAAAAACGTGACTGCTTAATTAATTATTATATTGAAATTTTAATTTAATGAAATTTGGTACATTTATACATGTACTATAGCGGATGGAGGTAATAGGCAAATTTTTTATCTCTGTTATTGAATTAAAATCTATAGATTTCAATTCAATAACAGTTTACGTCAAGATACCTATCAGTTAAAAATATTTGTTTGTTAAACATCAGCTGTTTTTAGTAACTATTAAAAATATATGTATATTAAAAATAAAAGTATTTTAGTTTTTTTTTGTAAAATAACAAATTTGTGAAATGTGCTTAATTATTATAAAAACATTTTTAAGAATGGCAGGTTGAAGTGAAACGAACACAAAAATAAAATGGGTCACAAAAAAATATACGTTTCACACGGGACGGGATCCGTTCTCATGGCAGGTAGCATGGGAAATATGGGGTGACACGTGTTACGACGGTTAACCCCTAATTAATGCATTATTACTTAAGTACCCATTGCGAATATGCGGTGAGTAGGTACAAATAATGACTTCGTATTGTATCCGTTTCAAGTCTCATATATATATATATATATTTGTTTGTTTTTTTAATGGATGATAATATAAAAGGTTACTCCGCCTGCGCTATCGGTATACGCTAGCCAGCTATCAGTGATCGATGATACATGATGATGAAGCAAATCATTTGGCCCATCATGACGAATTCAACAATAAATTAATTATGATGGATTCCAGGTAGAACCGCGTAGAGGTCGACTTGACAGTGTATATTGAATACAATTTTATTCAATCCGTATAGGACAGTTTTTATGCTCTATGCAATATACCTTTATAATATAATTTTTCATCACGACATGGAGGTACATGGAGATCAGGACATCAGGACATGGAGATGCTATTTAACTGATGTAATACCTTAATTTGACCTATGATCCACAATAAAGTCATTTGTATTTGTATCAAAATAAAGACACGGGAAAATATTTAAAATAAAATAAGATTTTTTTTATGGTTTGCGGTACAGTATTTAAGGTATCCCGTCCTCGCTATTGGATACGGGTGACGGAATGCCTATACAAGAGGGTACATGGTGGACGCAGTTTAGACGCAATATTTGAGGAGCATTAGGAAGGTACTACGGCCGGATACTGCAACAAAAAAGAGTATGTGGTCGGCCCCCGAACTGGCGACCTTTGCTGTCTCCAATAGATATTGAAAAATTAAGATTTAATAAATTTAAGATTTCACTAAAAACCACTTTAATTGGGTATACATTAGTATTGAAACAACATAGGAGAGTGAAAGAGAGAATATGAAGATAGCGCGTAAAAACACAATCAAATTGAAAACTTTCTCCATTTTGAAGTCGGTTGAAAAACGTTACGTTCTCGTGAGAATATTTTTTCATGGTGTACATTTCACATGAGTCCATTTTAGTTCCCATAGCAGGTAACAGAAATGGGGTGACACGCGCCCCGTGGGGAGATACAGAGCTCTCAAATGAGTTGACAATTCCTTAATTATAATATTATCTTTCAACTACAAAAAAAATATCTCTAAACATATTTTGTGGTTGCATTTGTTACTTCATGTAGATCAAAGGTTCCCAACCAGTGGTCCGCAGAAACTGAAATATGGTTCGCGTGTAATTTTAAATTTAGCGAGCTGTGGTGAGCCTTGGTCGCCGTGCAGTGAGTGAGAAGAGCGCGGGTAGTGGAGGCGGTTTCATTTGAAAATAAATAATGATTTGCGTGTAGTTTTGAGTAACAATATTAGTCCTAGGATAGCCGAACTCGTGAAGAAGATGCAAGCTTAGAAATCACATTATTACAAAATTACAGATGTTATCCCAAAATTCCTTATTGAATTTTTAATGAAAGTTTCAGTTTGATTATTACAGTGTATTTTTATTATATTTATATACCTAGTGGTCCCTAGCAGGCAAAGAGAATAATAATAATATAAAAGGGGTCTTTGACCAAGAAAAGGTTGGGAACTCCTGATGTAAACATAAGAATAGATAATATAATACTATAATAGTGACATAGGCTAGCTTTTATCCCGGCCTATTAATAGATTCCAGTTATGGAAACAAAGTCGCGGGTAGAAACTAGTGAGTGATAATATCTATAATAATTCTAAGTAATATTATAAATGCGAAAGTGAATTTATTTGTTTGTTACACTTTCACGCTTAAACTGTTGAATCGATTATGATAAATTTTGATATAGAGATAGATGTGATTTTCGAGACGGTTATAGGCTACATTTTTTGCAAAAAACTTATAGAGATGCGGTAAGAGGGGCAATTTTTGTATGAAACTTTTTATTGCGCCGTTTGATTTGCTTTAAACTTTACAGAATTATTGTTTATGATTCATAATTTAAGTATACATATTTCTTTTTTCAAATTATTTTTTAAAGGAGGTTGTTTTTTTTGTACTTCGTTTATAACTACCCACATTAACAATGAGAATTGTTAATCAAAGTCAATATTAATGCGAGCGAAGCCGCCGGTAAAAGTTAGTTTTAGATAATATTCTGTTTTAATATTATTTAAATAACCAAAAAAATATCTCCGTCAATTTCAAACTTAAACAATAATAAAAATACAAGGCCGCAAAAAGGAAATTAGATTAAATTAATTTTATTTATTGTATTTTTTTGATTTTACCAATCAAAATAATGTATATTTTGTTTTTAATATATTAAAAATATTATCAAATAATTATTAATACTTAAGATAGACGCTTATAATATTTACAAATCAAAATAATGAATTAAATAAATAGATAGGTATCCTTCACTTTTATTTTAACAATCACTGATATTACCTTCAAATATAACAAACATTAAACTGAGTAACAATTATACAAAACAATTTATATATAACCTAAATCGTAATAACTATCAAGTATGCCCTTGACCTTACTTTTGAATAGGGCAAGTGATTTCGGACTTAAATGAGAGACTCCCATCACATCCGGATCTTTTACGAATTTTTCAGACTGCATTAAATCTTTCATTTCAGCAGCTTCATCTGATGATCTTGCATTCATTGATGAGAACAAGATTAATAATCCGAGTATAAATGCCGAATGACTCTTCAACTCTCTACTGTGCTGATCTCGTGGGTACACAGTATGAGCTCTCAATCCGAAGTAGTTAAGAGACCTATCCAGTTGTGAGTAATAGTAGCTGATCCAATCCTCGTAATGGGTACGTCTGGCAGCGTAATCAGTGCAGTAGAAGATCATAAAAAGAAGATCGTTGACAGGACTAGCAGGAGTAGCCATTTGGTAGTCGATAAGTATGCATTCAGCTGGCTTCTCGTCCTGTAACAGATAAAAGGAATGTAAGTGATGGTAACAACAGTTGTTTTAAATAATGAAGCATTGATATTGTATTGAAAAACAATACATAGAATTAAACGATATATCCGGGAGTTTTGTATAAAGGTAGAATTAAAAGAAAAAAGAAGAGAAGAGCTAGATTAAGAGTAAGAATACATAGAACTAGTAATTAAAAATTGATTAAATTGTTCATCAATATTGGTAACCAGTTTAAGAATTCTTCTTTAAAATTTTCGAAGTATAATTTGAAATAAATTAGACAAAATGTTGTTGTATTTTATTTTTGAATTTGTGCAGTTGTACACATTGCACTTGGACACTAACATGAGACATTGGAGGGGTAAAAGGGATTTTTAGTAATATGAACTATCAATCCCAATGCTAGCAATCTGCACGTGGTCCCTCCTGGAAACCATAATGCAGAATTCCGGGTGTATTTATCACAATGGGCTAATTGATCCATCTTTTCATTCTCACCTATCATCCCTCACTAGTGCTCCGATAACGCATACCGTTAGCGCAGGCGGGGCTACAATTCCATTATCATCCATAAAAAAAATGAGACACTTCTTTTATATAATATTACTCTGTTTTCTGTTATAACTGTTTTTTATTGTTAGTAAATATTCTGTTTTATTCTAAAATAGTAGTAATAATACCGTTAAATTAAATAAAAAAAATGTGTAGTCACAGTTGCATAGAAAAATAGTATTAAGTTATTTAGATCTTTTAAAGATTTATCATTTATTTATTTATTTATTTATTTATTTATTTAAGGAGCATATTGCATTATAACATATAGGTATAACAACATTAAATACAATACAATATTAATGCACATGCCTATTATAGGTATTCACAGCATTCACTTTAACATAATTATACAGTGTAAGAAATTTAAGTAAATAACAAAAATAAACATGTAATCTAAGTTGTGAGCAAAATCAGAAAATAAGATTATGAGTAAATTAAATTAAAAAAAAATATTAAAAAAATATATATTTTATGACAATTAGAGTTAATGTTCATAAGAATGTTGTACAAAGTGCTTCAGCAATTTATTCCTGTAGGAATTCGAATTATCGTACACTATATCAATTTCAGGTAATTTGGCATTAATTTCATTGTATGACGCACTAATCCTGGCCATTGTAAATTATTGAAAATACATATGGAGTTAAATTATGAATGTGTGCATTCGAGTAAAAAGAGGGTTTTTGATTAGAAAGAAAGAAACTTTATTTTAAAGAAATATGCGACTATACCCACACAGCGGTTAAAAAAAATTAATTGTGATGTTATATGTTTTAAGAAATGTAAAAGTGCGGATTAGATAAGTTCTTATTTTTAAATAAATATCTAAATAATAACTATTTAAAAATCAAAATTATGTACTCACGCGTAATAAAAATAGTAAGTTATTAGTCCATGCATCACCATGCTGAATGATTGAGTTTGTAGGTAAACTTGGTTTACTAATTACATTAGCATCATGATCTCTCATTTTACTAAATACGTCTTTAAGTATATTTGTGTATTTATCTTCGTCTAATATTGATATAGTGTCGTTTAACAAAACAGTGTAACTATTTTTAAACATCTCTTGTTTTAAACCTTGACTCCAAGAGCTGAAGAATTTTAATTTCAAATCTTCGTAATATGCTGGTTCTTTCTGTTTTAAAACGAAAGACAAAGCATGATAGGTAGCTAAATCTTTGAGGACAAGTTTCACAACTTCATCGGAGAAGTATTTTTGTTTGTCAAGCATAACATAGCCGTAAACGTTTAGATCTTCTAGAAGAATCATTTCGTATGGTGCTTCTGTTAGGGCACCATAACATTCAGGAAAGTGAAACAGGTCTTCTTTGGGCACGCCCGCTTCGTTTTGTAGCTTACGGAACTTAGGCAATAAGAGTTGATAAACCACTCGTTCATTTTCAAACACTTGCTTTATACTCATTGTAAGGCGAGTAATTTCAACGGTTGTTGCCAATTTCGCTACTATATTTAGGACTCCTCCATCTTCTTTTTCAACCGTTATTCTTTTCACATTGGCCATAAAATTATCACCAGCCTTACCGAGAGTTTTTATTATAACTCTATTATTTTTAAAACCTCGTTTATCGAGTACATCGCGGAGGAACTGTTGTTGGAGTGAATGGAGACTGTCCACGTCTCCTTCGAGTTGTAAAGACGCCATAGCACTCTAGAATTGAAACAGTACTGACAGATTAAACGCCCACGATGATTTCTTTATACTAAATTACTTCTAATAGTATCTATATTATCAGTCACGTCAGACTTATCAGATAACATAACTGGTAAGTGCAATATAAGTATGCAACACTTAGACTTTTATACAAATAGTTATCTCGCATGACTGAAAATAATTTGTTTAAAGAAACTATTGGATTTAGTTAATACATAAAACAGTTGGATACGATAAGGTTATCCTGTAAAATATTTTTTTGGCAGTTTGTGACTTCCATATTTATTTTGAGGGCATAAATGGCTCGGGACCGTTCTTTATGACAGTCTATGGAAGCGGCCTATGCACAGTTAACAGCTGAAATGATGATGATAAAATTTAATTTATATTTAATTATATCTATGAAAGATGTATAAATCCTTTTCATATCATATAAGTCTTATAGTACACCCTCGCATTTAATTTACAAGATTGTAATGATACGTCATGAACAAAAAATACAACAGTCCATATATTATTTTATGTAGGCGAAGTAATTGATTAGTGTTGAAGATTTTCTTACTTTACTTAAAATTAATTTAAATTATTAAAAATTAAAAAAAATCCTGTATAAAGTAAAAGCACTCATTGAAACAATTAATACCTACTAATGAGCCCAAATACGTTATATCTGCAATAAGGTGCTGAAGAGTTTAGTATCCCGTAGATTACTTGATGCTGCAGTGTCATCTGAAGGTTTCCATACTATGGAAGTAATGGTAGATATGATCCCATATATAGACACACAGATACACAGACCTAAAAAACAAACATCTCATTTTGCGTCGGGGGTTAAAAAGTAAAAATTTCCTACATTCCTATTTTGAATATTAGTGTTATACTATGCTTAGTCTACGGTTTTATAATTTTTTTTCAATTGTTTTTGAAGTTTAGTAACAATACAGAATTATTAAAAAAAAAAAAACCAATAGGTAAAAATTCGTTTGTGAGACTTCGAAGTTTTTACGAACAAGGAGGTTCGTTTATCATTTTCCGCAGTGTCAGAAACTGTCCTAGCCCTTATAATAGTAAATATATGACGAATAGTAGAAGCTACGCGGGCATTGCTATAATGTTGATCCTTTTGTTCCGTGTAAATACTAAACAGAACATAATTTTTAATACAAGCAGAAAAAAGGAGAAAATTTTCGCGATAAATCAACGGACTGTCCTCTGGGGAACGAGTGAAGGAAATCGCAAAATCGTCTCAAATGAAATTTCTCACTCTGAGGCGTACTCGAAAAATTTTTTTCTATTATCATAGTAAAATGAATGTCATGTTTCAGGCACTAGAGTTTATTTTTGTATTGGCGAAAAAAGCAAGATTTTTCTTAGAAACTTTCACGCGTGAAATGTATTCGAGAGGGCAAATTGCGCCAAATACAGTGAAGATATATATGTAAGCAAGGGCGTGAAACTAGACAATAGGTCTTAGTAATGGTGTGAATCGTATGGATATCAAGACTTGTGTCTGTTTGATCCACTTCTATCTTTCGTTTCGGTACGGCCTTTCGTTTACGTAGTCTAGGTTAAAATAACTTTCTTGCTATATGTTTATTTATTACAATATAATAGGATGTTTATAAATAATATTTCTCTCATTTATGTCACATGTATATTTCTTTAATGATTGTTTATTAAATATTTGCCAAACTGCGGTTGCTAATCCGTAGGCCAAGTAGTAGTAGTAACTACTGGCAAAACTCCCCTTACGGGGGGGGGGGTTGTTGTGTTCAGCAGTGGACAGTTAACGACTGGTACTACAACAACAAACAGATTGAATATATATAGATAAAGTTAAAACATAATATTGAAATATTTTTTTTATGAAATCGTTAGCGCTGCATAAGACTGAAAATTAATCCTTACTATCAAAAATTCAATCTATACTAACTCAACAATTCAACTCACCGTGTTAGTTTGTCGTTTTTCAACTCATGTTTCTTCAATGAAAATATCCAGTTTCTCTGACAGAACAATCTTTTCAAAAGTTGCCTAAGATTTTAATGAAATTAAAATCTCTTTATAGATTGTTCACGTATCTTTAACAGTCCGTGACTGCACAATTTCTAGTAGTTCGAAAATCCTTATATATGGTGTCCATGTTTCACATTATTGTGACTTTAATAGTAGCATTCACAAAATAACTTTTTACAGATGTTAGATCAGGTTCCATAGGTGTTATTATGGGCACGTGCATTCTTTATCGGGAGGTCTATCGTCCCCTTAACTATCGTATGGTATGCCAATAAACCGATAACTCAGATGGTCTTACAAAGGCTTTATATACTTAAACAATACAAATAAGCACACGTACTGTTGTCTAAAGACCTTCTTGTGTACGATATAAAGTTTAATATTCTGTAAACTCGGAAATGTGATGGAAAAATAGTGTGTAGAATGGACAACGCATTAGTCTCTTGGGCGTACTACCTTCATATAGACCACTGGTTTTTGTTTTGTTTGTAAGTGCTGTACGATAGTGATATATTATTCAATATTTGTCAGTTTGTTCCTTCCGGAAATTATAATCTTTGTCTATAAATTCCGATTTTAAATTCATTCTGTCATATCCAATCATATCTGTGTACATTTTTATTTAGTAATATTGTAAAAATAAAATATTGTATTTTATACATATTAATGAAACGATTTAATTCTTATTATATATATATATATATATATATATATACATATATATATATATATATAGATGAGTGAACAAAGAATTCAATGCAAAAAGAAAACTTTAATTAAGGATAAAGTTTGTATAGTCGAATGCCTCACATCAGAATCATAGTTAACACACATTTATTATCTATTTGTGTGATAACTGACTTTTTGTTTTTAATACATACATTTAATTATATAATCTAAAATTGTATTTCATAAAAAAAAACTGAGCTTCAATTGCGATGAAACCAGTTATTTTATTTTAAAAATTAAACTAATGAACCGATTTAGATAAAATTTCTGTGGGTCCAATCATTATATTTTTTTTGATAAAAAATAATTTTCCAAATTAGTTTGCAACTGATAGATTTATAAGATAACAAACATAAAAAAAAACACAACCGAATTGAGAACCTCTTCTTGTGACAAAGTTTCAATTTAAAGTTAAGAAGAAATCGTAATGAAATTAATCTTAAAGTTAAATAAATTCGAAATCAGCGTCATCCAAGAATAAAGATTTTTGAATAGATCAAAGTACTGCACTTCATTGTTCTTTTATATAATTCTACTATTATCTAATCATAGATAACGAAATTTAAGTAAACAAAAGTTGTATGTAAATTTTTTGATTCGCTAAAGCTTCCTAAATCTTCCACGTAAAAGGAGGTTTGCGATATACCTTGTAAATACCTACCCACCTAATTCCTTCGTTAGTAGTTTAATTGTGGTTAATTAAAAACTGATTAGATTACACATTTTTAAATTTATTATCACCATTCCGTTTAATGACATGATAAAAAAAATTGTCATGGTAGTTTAAATTTATACTGTAATTTTTTTACATTTGATTACGAAAATTAAATATAAAATTACATACATAAATTTATAAATAATCTAAATCATAATAACTGTCAATTATACCGATAACCTTATTTTTGTATAGAGAAAGTGACTTTGCATCCAAATGAGAGACACTCATTAATTCCGTTGATGTTTCCATTGCTTCGGATTGCATTACATCCCTCATTTCAGCAGCTTCATCCGTAGACCTTACGTTCATAGATGAGAACAACATTAACAGTCCAAGTATATACACTGAATGAGTTTTCAACTCATTATTGAATCGATCTCTTGGGTAAAGAGTGTCGGCGTTTAATCCAAAATAGTTTAGAGACCTATCCAGTTGCGAGTAATAGTGGTCGATCCAATCTTTGTAGTGATCACGTCTGGTAGCGTAATCTGTACAATTAAAGATCATGAACAGTAGATCGTTAGCCGGACTGGCAGCTGTAGCTATTTGATAGTCGATAAGAATGCATTCTGAGGGCTTCTCGTCCTATAACAAAGAGAAAAATTGAATAATATTGCAAACAGAAGTTACGGATTACTGCGACCAAAATGATTGTTTACTTTCAATTTTCTTGGTACAAATATCATCAGAAATTCTTGGCATAGTAATATACAATTTGACTTGTATCAAATTATGCCTCATTCGTATTCGACGGATTCGTTAACTACAACTTATAAATTGATTTTGTTATAATAATAGAAATTTATTATAATTAAATAAATAGAAAATAATTGAAACTTATAAGATCTCAAGATGAGACAAAAATTGATGAATTTTTGAGACGAGAATATTAAATTTTAATGATTTACTTACACGTAATTTAAAAAGTAAGTTATTGGCCCATGCATCACCATGCTGGATAATTGAGTTTATAGACGCATTTGTGGTTTTAGTTACTTCAGCATCATGATCTTTCATTTTGCTAAATACATCTTTGAGAGCATTTGTGTATTTATCATTGGCCAATACGGTTATTGTGTCTTTTATAAAATTTTCAAAAGTGAGTTCGAACAGTTTTTTGTTTTAAAGCGTGACTCCAAGAGTTGAATAATTTTAATTTCAACTTTTCATAATATGCTGGATCTCTTTGTTTCAAAACAAAAGACAAAGAATGATAAATAGCCAAATCTTTGAGAACGATTTTTACGATATCGTTAGTGAAAAATTTTAGCCTGTCGAGCATAATATAGCCGTGAACATTTAAATCTTCTAGAAGGATCATCTCATGTAGTGGTTCCGATAGGGCATGTTATGGGGCAGGGTTTTAACACAGTTGGTGTTTTTGAAATGACTAGACTCGTAGAGTATTCTGAATTGAACTGTCTTTATTATTACAAATCGTCCATATATATAGTAGAGATATCTTAATTACTATTTACAATTACAATAGTCAAATACTTCCATTGAAAGAGTGACAACAAATAGAGATAATAACTTACTAATGGAAACTTGGATGAGATAGACAAATATACAAATATGAATATTAAACAATATAATGATTTCGATATCAAATGGACAAATACAAATATACAAATAGGAATGTCAAATATTATAATGATTAGGTCGTAGGCTGACACATGGTCTTAGGTCACGTACTCTTAATATATGTAACACCTCCCCCTTAGAATAAAGATTGGGCTTGAGAGCTTGATCTTTGAACTCTCGGTGTTGAAGTTCTTGGATAATTTTCTTCATTTTCCTCTTCGTCTTCCGTTACGCAGGTACTTGTTGCTATAGTAGTCATCGGGACGGCAACTTGGGTTCTCTGACGTCGTGATGTGTTTGAAAAACAGTTGTTAAATATTTGTATACAACTATTATCACGGCTTGGTCTTCGGTTACGCAGGAGTAATCCATTCGGACAACGTTTGCTAATCTTATAAATGAAGTATCCTAGCATTGTTATGAATAACACGAAGTATATCCATGTAAACGTTGACGAATATCTTTGTAAGATTGGTCGAGATCTCATATTTTCTAAGCTTTCCTTAAATTTATCGACATGATGTTTTATTTGTTTCAGTGAATCCAAAGGCATTTCATTAATTTTAATAGGAATTAAGTTTGGAGCTTCAAAGTTCTTGTATTCTTCAAAGCAATCGTCTGTTCTAATGTCTGGAATTATTACAGGATATGTCACATTTTCTTCAATAGATTGAAAGGCTGTTAGCGTACTATACCCAGTATAAAGTTTGCAGTTTTCCGGTAAGGATAAAATGCCTGCTCCTTGTAATTTATGATGTGTAACTTCCGTTTTACATTGAAGTATACAATTAGTGTCTTCTGTAAGTATGTAAAGCCATTGGTTGTTGTCAATGTTTTGAAAAGTGTTAATTCTTGCTTCAAATGTGGATGTGGTACAAATTTCAGGTAAAGTCTTTGAAATGCTTAACAGGATATGGAGCTCACATAATGGACGTGATGCTGCTTCATATGCGATAAAAGAGGTGCAGATCTTCTTCTTTATAGTGTAGGACTTGCATGAAGTGAGGTCGCTCGTAGATACGTATATATTACCGCTAGGATTTGTAGCCAAATGCATGTGCTCAGGTAGGATGGTTGTATGTAAAGAGGAATTAAAATGTTGAATTGGAATGGAATATATGTGATAGAGATTAAGAGGTTCGCCTTGAATTAATGGAAAATCTAATATGTATACAAGTCTATCAGAATATACATGAGCAGAAAGAGAAGCTGAGTCTAATATTTGATGAATATTTTCAATAGTGACTGGAGTAACTAAGTGTTTGTTGGTACGTATATGATTAGATAATAAAAGTTCTTCATATAGATGTTTAAGAGTTATTATAGAGGGATGTATTGTATTAGATTTTACGAACAATATGCTTGCTAAACAATCATTAATTTCATTTTCTAGATTTATTACCGATTCTAATATCTGCAAGGAAATTACGGAAATGTCTTCACTAGCCTTTAGATTGAAAATAACCTTTTGACTTGAGTTTAAGTAATCATTAAGGCGATTAATATTTTCGTTAATTATTTGCTCATCATACGTTATTTTAAATATAGTTTCATTGAAGTTTTTAGTTGTTGAAGAAATAATTAAGATTTGTTCGAGCATCAAGGAAGAAGATTCTATTACAAGTTTTTTTCTAATTTATTAAGGTAATATCGAATTGAACAAACATAAGAACTATTATTTATAAATTTATGTTTTAATTATGTTTTATTTTTTATTAGAAATAAAGACGATTTTAGGACGATTCGTAAGCTAACGAATATAACAAAAATGATACAAAATCTCAATTTATTGATTAAGATTGATTGATTATTGAAGAATTATTGATTTAATTGATTATAGAAGAATTATTGATTAATTATTGAAGAATTATTGATTTAATTGATTATAGAAGAATTATTGATTTAATTGATTATTGAAGAATCATTGATTTAATTGATTATAGAAGAATTATTGATTTAATTGATTATTGAAGAATCATTGATTTAATTGATTATAGAAGAATTATTGATTTAGTTGCTTATAGAAGAATTATTGATTTAATTGATTATTGAGGAATTATTGATTTAATTGATTTTGAATATTGCTTATAATAAATTAATACTATAAGTTGTTTGATGTGGAAACAACTTAACATATTAGAGCTATTCTTTGTACAAGCCGGCGTCTATACGGCTCATTGTTTGTTAGTCGCCTTATACGACACGTCAAATCTGAACGTCAGTGTTATTCTTTGGTAAAGCCGACTACTACACGGCTAATTGTTTGTTAGTCGCCTTATACGACACGTCAAATCTGAACGTCAGTGTTATTCTTTGGTAAAGCCGACTACTACACGGCTAATTGTTTGTTAGTCGCCTTCTACGACACGTCAAATCTGAACGTTGGTGCTATTCTTTGGTAAAGCCGGCTACCACACGGCTAATTGTTTGTTAGTCGCCTTATACGACACGTCAAATCTGAACGTTGGTGCTATTCTTTGGTAAAGCCGGCTACCACACGGCTGATTGTTTGTTAGTCGCTTTCTACGACACGTCAAATCTGAACGTTGGTGCTATTCTTTGGTAAAGCCGGCTACCACACGGCTAATTGTTTGTTAGTCGCCTTATACGACACGTCAAATCTGAACGTTGGTGCTATTCTTTGGTAAAGCCGGCTACCACACGGCTGATTGTTTGTTTAATTAACGAGTTTATTTATTTCATAAGGTCTTAATCTATTTGCGTGAACTAACTGATGTCTCCCGGATTTACGAATAACATAATTTTCATTAAAGCCTACACGTATCACATCGAATGGCCCTTCCCACTTATTATCTAAATTATTTGGGTTAGGGACCTTGATCATCACCTTGTCACCTACATTAAATTTAGCAATATTTTTAATTTTCCCGTCGTAACGTTCCTTGGCTTTTTCTTTCATTTTCTGAACGTTCTGTGTTGCGACATCGCGGGCTATTGTAAGTCGTTCGTTTAAATCTTTAATGTAATCGAATGCAGTATAATCGGGTATTGTTTTTAATGAATAAAAAGGTCTTGGTTTAAAACCAAATAGAAGTTCGTAGGGTGTGAAACCTGTAGAGCTATTAACTGAGGTGTTATGACATATAATAGCCAGTGGAATAATTTGATCCCAATTTTTCAATTTACGTGCTTGGTACATTCGTATGTGATCTCGAAGTGTGGCATGAAACCTTTCTAATGCACCATTAGTTTGAGGGTGGTAAGCTGTATTAAAAGTTTGACTTGTACCGAGAAGTCTTATTAATTGCTTCATTAGTCCATTCATGAATTCAGTACCTTGGTCAGAATGGAAACGTCTAGGTACACCGAAATGTTGACAGAAGTGAAAGAGTTGTTTAGCAACTGTTAGAGCTTCTTTATCAGGAATTGGATAAGCTTGGACGTACCTAGTTAGTTCATCTTGTAGTGTCAATATGTATTTGTTATTATTGTCACTAATGTCAGAATATGATACTAAGTCTATAGAAACACGTTCAAAAGGTTCATTAGATTGGGATGTTAATACCATTGGAGCTTTAAAAGTTTTTCTTTGAATCTTATTGCGCTGACATATTTCACAAGAGTTTATGTAATTTTTGATATCTTCGGCCATATTTTTCCAGAAGTAATGTTCTCGAATTTTCCTAGTGGTTTCAATTATACCTCGATGTCCTGAGAGCGGTTCATCATGGTATGTTTTTAGAATGCTGGGAATTTCCTGAGGCGAAGGATGAGTAATTTTATTCTCGCAAATGATTATATTGCAATTATATATTTCTGCTAAATAAGCTGAGATATGTAGCTGTTGGTTGCCCTGAAGCTTGCAAGTTTGATCATATTTCAGGTTCGGTATATACAAAGTTTCAATATTATGCTTATGTAAGCACGATAACAATGATTTGAAATAACTCTCCGCGTCCCATGGATCATAGTATGATGTTCTAGTATAACAAAGGAAAATGTTTTGCTGATATTCAGAAGTTATTTTATCTATGTCGTAGACTTGTTTTTCTGTTTCAGGTTGATTGCTTTGGGAAGCACATAAATCTAAAGCTTCGTTGTATAAGTTATTAAGATCCGATTTTTGACACGACACAGGGATGAAGATATTTTTATGATTAGACTCTAAAAGATTTTCAGGTGAAGTTTTAAGCTTGTGTGAATTAGCGCTACAACCTTGAGATAAGAATTGTTCATAGTTTGTTTTTAATAATGTTTCAAATTGTTTTTCAGGGTTGTCTGTACCCATATTTAATATAGGTGGTCGTGATAAGGCATCGGCGTTTGTATTATTTTTTCCGGCTTTGTAATTTATTTCATATTCATATTCTTCTAGTTTCAGTCTCCAGCGAACGAGACGAGATCCCGGATCTTTAATGGAAAATAACCATGTGAGTGGTTTGTGATCAGTAAATATTTTAAATTTTCTACCGAATAAATATGGTCGAAAGTGTTTCACGGCCCATACTATTGCGAGAAGTTCGCGCTCTATGGTAGAGTAATTACTTTCAGCTTTATTTAACGTACGTGATGCGTAAGCAATAGGTAAATCTTTGCCAATTTCACCTTGCGAGAGAATCGCTCCGATAGCGTGGATTGAAGCATCCGTAGTTAATATAAACTCTTTAGTAAAATCGGGATATTGTAACAGAGGAGTCGTTGTGAGAATTTCCTTACAGGAGTCAAAAGCCTGCTGTTGTACACAACTCCATGTAAACGGAACATCCTTTCTTAATAAGCTTGTTAAAGGCTTAGTGAGCTTACTAAAGTTAGGTATGAACCTACGATAGTAGCCTGCGAGACCAAGAAATGATTTAATATCTTTACATGATTTAGGGACTGGAAACTCACGAACTGATTTTACTTTTTCGGGATTTGGCTTTACACCTTCACTCGATATAATATGACCCAGGTAAGCAACTTCTTTTCTCAAGAATTCGCATTTATCTGGTTGTATTTTCAGACCGTATTTTCGTAACCGATCGAATACTTCAGTTAATTTCTGTTTATGTTCTTGAAGGCTGGATGCAAACACTACGATATCATCAAGATAAACAAAGCATCGTTCTCCTTGTAATCCGTAAAGTACACTATCCATGGCACGTTGGAATGTAGCTGGTGCATTTTTGAGTCCGAAAGGCATTCTTAAAAATTCGTAATGACCAAAAGGAGTGCTGAAGGCAGTTTTGGGAATATCCTTGGGCTCTAATTCAATTTGATGGAAACCGGATGCCAAATCTAAAGTTGTGAAATATATTGAATGTCCTAACTTATCTAGTATGTCAGTTATGTTAGGCAACGGGTAACTGTCTCCAATAGTGACGTCATTTAATTTTCTATAATCAATTACAACACGCCATTTTTGCTTTCCAGACGCGTCTAATTTTTTTGGAACTACCCAGATTGGACTGCTCCATGGAGAAGTACTATCTTTTATTATATTCTGTTGTAACATTTTGTCTATCTGATTTCTTACTTCTTGTTGGTGTACTTGAGGGAATCTATAAGTTTTAGTATTAATTGGTATATCTGACGTAGTAGGAATAGAATGTTTAGTGTGATTCGTGAACGTTAGTGGATCGCCTTCCACGTAGAAAATGTCCGAATATTCTGAAGTTATTTTTTCGAGAGATTCACGTTCTTCTTTATTTAAATGATCACACCTTATAAGGCTCCCGATATCTATTCTTTGTTTTATAGAGATGTTGTTAATTTGTGAATTGGGTAAGGAAACAGACTGTTGAATTAGTTCCGATTCGTTAACAGAATTTACATCTATAATAGGCGTTGAAATATATACGTCATTATCACTCGAGTTTACACAAGTAATGAGAAAGCTATTATTTTTGACATTAACAAGAGCATTAGGAATACAGATATCGTTACTAATGTTTTGCTTATTTATCATTGCAGTTCCGTCTGAGATATCATTAGTTAAACATGATATAACTGTCTCCGAACGACGTTTGATAATTTGTTTACCATTATCAAAGTACTTTGGTTCATCTCCCAGAAGGAACAACTGATAAGTCCTGTCATGTATTCGCATCGTTTTTGATTGAATATAAATGTTGACATTGAATTTTGACATGAAATCATTACCGAGTATACCATCAGCGTGTATGTTTAAATTTGCGACATGGAATTTAAATTTTGGAAATTGATCTAATGAAATGTGGGATGTGCCACATGTTTGAAAAGGCGAATTTTCATTAGAGATACCAATAATAGAAACGACGTTTGATGTATCGATGGTATTTTTACCGATTTTATTTTTATTTATAACCGAAATGGCTGCTCCCGTGTCTACTAATAACGTAACTGGTTGGCCATCAATATGAAATTTACAGTGCAAAAGATTTTCAGGAGGTATATTTAATGTAGAGATATTGTAAGATTCATTAGGATAAGCTCTTTTCTTTATTTGATTCGATTTTAGTTTTATTTTTGATTTTTGTTTCGATTTACGAGATTTTTTTGATTTTTTAGTCTTTGTAGTTTGTTGATTGCACGTGGGATTTGAATTAGATTCTTTTAATATAGGTTTTAGACATTGATCTTTTTCAGAATTAGTCGAATTAGTGATACAATCTACAGAGTTAATAGGTTTCTTTGATTGAGTTAGTAAGGTTTCTGTGACCTTTATAAGTGATTCAGTGATTTTTGTGAGGTTAATGATTAATGATTCAGAGAGCTCTAAGTTTGTCTTAGTAGCTATCGTAGTTTTATTATCACAAGTACACACATCGCTTAATTGTCCCCGATGGACTGGAATTGTTTGCGCTTGTGTAGTGATGTTTGTATTAGATAATGTAGTATGACACTGATTACTATTGAATTTTACTGAATTTGAAGATCGTTTATTTGAGGTTCTAGGGTAATATCCTGACCCTCGGTGATCATTGAAATATTTGGGCAATACGTGGGAACCGTTTCCGAAACTGTGCCCGTCAGCTCGGCCGGTTGCAAGTTTAAATGATTTACTCGAGCTGGAGTCGGATTATTTCGCGGAAATTGGTTATTACGACTATTATTAAATATTCTCTTTCTACAATTAGTTATATGATGTCCGGGTTTTTTACAATAATTACATATAATAAATTTTCGCGGATTGGTATTAATAGTATGTTTATCTGGTGGTTTATGTATTTGAGGTTGATTGATCTGAGGTGGTTGACGAACGACATTGCTATATAGCGGTGTTGTTATTCGACTATTTTTAAACAAACTTTGCCTAGCCGTATTCATTTTTCGAATTTTTTCTTCTTGAATTGCAAAGTTTCCAGCATGAGTTAATGAATCAAAACCTTTTGTTCTCAACATTACACCTATGTCAGAACTCAATCCATTAATAAAAACGTTCAGAGCTGTTTCTTCCGTAGTAGTTTTCCGTCCTATTAATGTCGCATCTACCACTTCAGTTGTTAATTTTTCTAAAATTTTATTTCTACATAAATCTACGCGGTGGAAAAATTCCGTTACCGATTCATTTGGTTTCTGAAAGAGTGATTGTAGTTCGAGATTTAGATGTGAAAGAGTTTTTGTTTGCGAAAATTTTTGTATAAGGAACGTTTTTAAGTCGTCCCAGTTTGAGTATAGTTTCGCGTGGATATCAGAAGAAGTACTCCCACTTATTTTGTTTAAAGCGTAAATTAATAAAATTTCTTCCTGCTCTAGACTTGCTAATTTAAAAGCTGAATCGCACGATCTTATGAACTTATATACTTGACCCGATTGTGTTGTATCGAAATCCGGTATTAATTGTAATAAAGTATTTAGCGGAACATTTTGTTCGCAAAATTTAGGTTTTGTGTCAATATTTTGTTGTGACATAATGAATTAGAATAATTGAATTCGTAAAATCGATATAGTATAATAGAATATTAAAAATAGATAGAAAAATAGATTTTGAGTTTGAATAATAAAATTATTTTATGATTTAGGCGAAAAAGATTTATGAAAAGGAAACAGAGAAAGGAAACAGAGCAACATGTGTTGACCACTTACCCCAATAACAGCAACAGGATACGCATTGCAGAGTATAGATTCGGCGAACTATTCAAAGCCCTTCAGGCACCGTCCTAGGATTGTTGGCGATGTTTGTCCGAGTCCCAGACGTTAAGTTCGACTTGCACTATTACGCGACGGATCCTACCGACTGCGCCAAAATTGTTATGGGGCAGGGTTTTAACACAGTTGGTGTTTTTGAAATGACTAGACTCGTAGAGTATTCTGAATTGAACTGTCTTTATTATTACAAATCGTCCATATATATAGTAGAGATATCTTAATTACTATTTACAATTACAATAGTCAAATACTTCCATTGAAAGAGTGACAACAAATAGAGATAATAACTTACTAATGGAAACTTGGATGAGATAGACAAATATACAAATATGAATATTAAACAATATAATGATTTCGAATCAATCAAATGGACAAATACAAATATACAAATAGGAATGTCAAATATTATAATGATTAGGTCGTAGGCTGACACATGGTCTTAGGTCACGTACTCTTAATATATGTAACAGGCACCATAATATTCAGGGAAGCGAAATAAGTCTTCTTTGGGCACTTTTGCTTCATTCTGCAGCTTACGAAATTTGGGCAGTAAAAGTTCATAAACCACTCGTTCATTCTCAAATGATTCTTGAAGACACATGGCAGCTCGAGTAAATTCTACTGTTGATGCCAATTTTACAACTATTTTTAGATGCTCTCCATTTTCATTTTTAACTGTTATCCTTTTCACATTTGACATGTAGTTATCACCAGCTTTGCCGAGAGTTTTTATAATAACTTTGTTATTTTTAAAGCCACGTTTATCGAGCATATTGCGAAGGAACTGTTGTTGGAGTGAACTGAGACTATCTACATCTCCTTCGAGTTGAAGAGATGCCATTGTACTTTAGGGTTTGAACAATAATGGCAAATCCACTGCAACAAGTCTTCTATATATTGAATTAGTTCTGATAGTAATTATCAGTCATGTCAGAGATAACAGATAAATATCTCACATTAATATTTATTTATTTATCTCTTTATTGCACCATAAATAAAAATATACAATGACAAGTGAATAATTCAAATGAAATACAGTAACATAAATACAGATTGAAATATACACATAAAGGTACAAAAGGCGGTCTTATCGCTAGGGCAATCTCTTACAGACAACATTTAGTTAAAGGAGAACAGATAGAAAAGGGCAAGTGGCGCAAGAGTGAATTAATAATTTTCGTGCATAAAATACAAAAACATGTAATACACAAAAATATCAAATACATATAATATATTTTGTTATGTCATGCAATATGGCGTCACTTTATTACAAATTAACAAATATGATGTAATAAAAACCATTTGTATTATTGAATTAGATTACTTTAAATATTGCTAGTAAACTGAGCTTATTAATTATTTTTTAAACAACTTTATTGACCAAATGAAAATATGCTACAAAAGGCGGCTAAAGACTGAGGCATTGCCTACCAGTCAATCTTGTAACCTTTTATTTAGTTGTTTGTTTATCTTTATGTTAACCTTTATAAAATATTAATAAATAAATATTTATTTTATATACTGACAATAAGATGGTTTTGATGACACACTACAATAAAAATTGTCTCACTGTCTGTTCGCACACAATGCCCATAGCACTGTATAAGCTCATTTAGGTTCTATGGTGTGAGAATAAATTTGCTGTCAGCGATGATTAGCAAGCCATAACTAGTTGAATTTGCTGCTGGTTTTAAATAAAAAAAATCACAAGTAAATTACTTTTTGAGCATGTTGGGTAAAGATATATTTGATGCAATAAAATGGAGTTAACAAGTAACCTGAAATAATTATAGACGATTTAATAATAATAATAAACGTTTTTTGCTGACAACTACGGTCCCCTTGTTAGTAATAACTTGTCTTACGAGTATAAATTATTGTTAGTAATATTTTTTTAGCATCAAATACTACGTAAAATTATTACAGTTAAATCTTAATTATTTAATCAAATTTATGTTATACAAATCTATTTTTGTTTTAAATTACGATTTTATTAACAGATTCTATTTTTGTTTTTTTAAACATAATAAAAGTCTAGTACATATAATTTCTGGCCATGCATCACCTTTTAAAAATATAATTATTATGTTTATACTCATAGATACATATAATTTAAAAGATATATACTCACGATGTATTTTTGAATTTTTTTTCCTAATTTCTGCGTTTAATTTTGTATATATTCCACAATATTACGTTTACTTGTTTCTGTATATACAATGAAAATACTCGTAAACGAAGGAACTTTATTATCCATTACTTCTAATTTTGGGTTCTTATCACAACTTGTTTTTTTTTGTATTACTCACAAATTTATTCTTTTACCGTTTTTCGACGGTATTCCTCATCAACCACTACATTTTGTTTTCATTCGCCATCCGCTTATATAATATGTCTTGCTATAGTAGTTCTCGAAATTTGTTCTTTGTTTACACGTTGCTTCATGTAATTTAATTCGTCGTTCGTGTTACTTTCGAGTACAGGTTCGATTGTATGGGAACAATTAACCTGTGCACATGACCTCTTATCAATGCTTACAATTTCAGTGCAGGCCCCACTGTATGATGTCGATAAAATCATTATTGCCATCAGTTTGCTCTTTTGTGTAAGAGTGACTGAGCCACCGTTAGCCTTTAGTTCACACTTGGAGTTAAACCACGGTATGGGCTTCCTTACGTGGGTTATATGAAACTGAGCATCCATACATCCAGAGCATCGGAACTGGAGAAATATTGCTGCTGTCACATACAGGATCCATAGCATGATTTGAATATGTTGAAGATCACTATTTTCATAATTACAGCTGCTCAGGTTTAAGACGACCCTCCTCTTATTTGATCGATGAAATCAAAAGGTTTTTTCATAGAATATCGTTTTAGTGTCTTCTGTAATTTTTAGTGAAAACAATTTGAAGTAGTTAAATATCCCTCAATATTGCGTCACATCTACGTGGTCAAAGGTTATAGGGAGCAACTTGTGCATTTTTTTCGCTACAAATATTAGATGTTCTGAATCCGAAGCATTCGTAAGCTTTAATAAAAGTGAACTAATTTCTAAATATTTTCGGTACTTTTTATACTTTTTTCTTGTGTTCATTTGTATGGATGTGAACAACATTTTTGGTTATCTGGTGTATTTTGATTTAAAAGCTGCTTCACATATTCTAATTAATGTATCTTCATCTTTCACAAGCATTTTATTAAATATAAATATGAATTTATATAATACGTTTATAGCAATCTTGCACAACTTACACTTCACTATATTAACTGCCATTATGTAAATAGATGTAGACAACCAAAATGTAAATAGATACTATCTATACATTTATTTACTTTATAATATTGATTTTAGAAAGTAATTTCTCGCCTGATTTGTCTTAGACAATTTTACTGATGACAAGTCACTGCTTGCGTGTCGTTCCGAAACAATTTACATCGATGTTAATTATGCTAAAATGTGATTACAGAAACATGTTCTTGAAATTATCATATATAATTACAATGTTAATTATGTGAATTACTTGAGCGCCTGATAGATTACTTGAGACAATTTTATTAAAGAGTTATTATTACTAATGCTGCTATTCCGAAACAAAGTATATTTAACTGAGTGACTTTGAACAAATGTGGTTTCTGTCGAAATTCGTTGAACTTTTTCGGCTTTAAGTCTTTAGAAATGTTTATGTTCCCAGAAAGCATTTTTTAAAATTCTTGTTCTTATATTTCTGAGTACTCGAAGAAAAAGAAAGGTTCACCGAAGTTGGCAGGGGCGTAGTTGCTGGAAATCATCTAGTATTACATTATCTGTGAAATTTATATTATGTAACTTGAAGCAATTCATGTTTACCGTAGGGTCCAAACTACTGGTAATATGGTGGGCCGTGTCGGTGCACTTCTTAAAACTTAATTGAGCGCAATGGAAATGGCACATCCGTTATACTCGTGAACGGATGCTGCTTGTGTCGATTGGTCTGACCATATTTACTTGTTTATTTCACATTGCATGATACATATTAAAAGAACTTAATGCTCATTATAGTCACAGTACCTATAGGTATGGTGACTAAAATGTGTGTAAATGTGAAGTAGTCTTGTATATACGTGTAAATAAATTCAAATATAAAAGCATGTTATACTAAAAAGAAATTAAATAAGACAAGAACCAAGTAAGGCCACCTTCTATGACTAAAATAACTCATTGAAGGTGCCCCATTATTAAAGTTGAGTTAATGAACTTAATTATAAATATCCGAAGTCATAATAACTGTCTATTAGACCACCAATTTTAGCTTTGAATAATGCAATAGATTCAGCGCTTAAAGTTGTCACTCTGAAATTCTGAACTATATCATCGATGTCATCACTTTTTATAGCAGTAGCAGCTTTTGCCTCTTCTGGAGTTCTTAGAATAAAAGATGAAATAATGATTATTATACCTAAAAAAGCTTTTGCATATCTTTTTAAATCTATTTCGAGACGATATCTTGGATACACATCATTGGCTTTAAGTTTAAAGTAATTTAAAGACTTGTCCAGTTGTGAGTAATAGTAGTTGATCCATTCATGGTAATGTTTTTGTCTGGTTGCATAATCTGTGCAGTTAAAGATCATGTATAGAAGATCACTAACAGGTACACTTTCTTTAGATAATTGGTAGTCGATTAGAATACATTCCATGGGCTTTTGATCCTACAAAAATAAAAGAAGACTAATATAGGTACATATATGTATTGATAATAGAGTTTTGGAAGACTTAACCTAAATAATTAGTGTATTACCAATTCCTGCTTTATTGTGTTGAAGATTAAGATAATATACGATAGATGACGCATAAGAAATGCAGTAGGTAAATGGTATTTATATTAATCATCATTGTAGTATTTATGCTTAAACATAATAGATTCCAGGTTACTTTATTTTCCATTTTAGTTAGTACAAATGAATATAATTTTGATAATTGTACAGTCATAAAAGTAAGTGTTTCAATGAAAAATAAGCTTAAAATCCGTTTACAATCTGTGAAGATAATATACAAAAAATAGAAGAAACAGTTGAATTGAGAATCTTTTTATTTTTTAAAGATTGTTAAAAATATCTGTGGAAATATTGAATTTTTACCTTAATTTTGAATAAGATATTATTGGTCCACGCATCTCCTTGTTCTATAATAGAAAATGCCTTTGTGTTTTCGCTGGCATGTACTTCCATTAATTTTTCATACATATCAGTAAGTGACCCTTTAATAACATTTTTGTATTTATTACTTTCAAATACATTTATTACATCATTTTCTAATATTATAAGTACTTTTTTCCAAAAATCTTTTTTATACGTATGAGCCAAAAAATTAAAAAGTCTTGATTTTAAGTTTTCGAATATTTTAAGTTGTTTATGTTTCAAGACATATGACATAGAATGAAAAGTAGCGAAATCTTCCAGTATCAGTTTTACTGTATCATTTGTAATAAACTTAAGCCTATCGAGCATGACATAACCGGATTCTTGTAGGTCCTCTAGTATAATAATTTCATGTGGCGCTTTTAAATAAGCTCCATGGAATTTTGCAAATTTAATTAGTTCCTCCTTTGGCACTCTGGCTTCTATTTGCATTTTATGAAATATAGGCAAAAGTTCTTCGTAAATAATTTGTTCATTTTGGAATATTGCATTTGCCGCCGTTAAATCTCTGGTAAAGTCATTTGTTGGTGCTATTTTTATTATAAATTTAGTTGATTTATTGCTGTTTCTTTCAACAATTACTCTTTTAACATTAGATATGTAGTTATCGCCAGATTTTCCAACTGTTTCTATTAATATTTTGTTTTTGTCAAATCCATATTTCTGAAGTAATTCAGATAAAAATTGTTTTTGCGGTACACTAAGATCACTATCACCTACAAATTCAAAAGCCATGGCAAAAACAAACTTGTTCTGAAAACTATTTAGTACATATCTCTTCTTATATACTTACCTACTTATTTAAATCAATATTGATAAAACATGCAAATACGTTTAATTACATCTTAGATAATGGTAAATATTGCATCACGTAAGATTTATGTCATATCAATATTTAAATTTACAGTGTTGCTTATAATATTTATGCATTGAAACAAAGAATAATAATATAATAAATTTAATAAATAATAATCAACACCACGCCATATGTTAACAATTTCCAAATTAATCAGAGCTAGTACATTGGGTGCAAGAAATACTTAATAGTTACATTTTTAAGTCGTACAACAATTTAAGACTTTACTGTACAATAAAGTTATATACATATTTAATATATATACATATATAACTTTTTTTACGGATAATAATGGAATGGTAACCCCGCCTGCGCCAACGATATACGCGGGCGGGGCACCAGTAAAGGATGATAGGTGAAGATGAAAAGACAGGTCTGTTAGCCTACCGTGAAGAATACACCAGGAATTCAGCACGATGGTTTCCAGGAGGAAACCTGATAGGGTATATTGCTAGGAATAGAACTGGTAGTCCGCGTATATATATATATATATATATATATATATATATATATATATATATATATATATATATATATATATATATTATATATTACCGCGTGATTCGCTGTTCATCATTGTTTGCTTTATGCAGGAATCGAACCTGCAACCATTGCAAAGCGAGGCGATGTTTTTTGAGTTACTGGTATATGCTTGCAGGGAATTAGTGAGACATGATAGGTGAGGATAAAAGCCGGTCAGTTGGATTATCATGACGACTTTACAAGAATTAACTACGATGGTTTCCAGGGGGAACCACGGAGGTTGACCAGCGTAAAAAAAAAGGGGAAAAAACTAATTTATTTGATAAATGGTGCGAATTACAGAGAAAAATTTAATAAACAACAAGATAGTATAAAATAGATACTATAAAATAACAGATTTATAAATAGAATATTTACTGATACATAATTACAAACTAACCTATTTTAATAACTATATACGTAGGTATAGGTATATGTGTGTCGTAATGTTCATTAAATGGGTTGTTTGTTGTAGTACTAGTTACAACACAAACAGTATAGTATATATAAACAATATCATTTACGTGTATATTAATTAATACTACTATATTAATACTGTAACTCTATATATTAATATTATAATACTTTCGTGACAGCCATTTTAGGCAATATAACCCAGGTCACGGAAGGAATCTATCACGCCTTCTATTCTACTCTTGAATTTTGAAACTGAATCTTGATCCAAATTTTTCATTTGAAAACTCTCTAGAACTGTTCCTATATCAACTTTATCGGAGTTTTCCATTGCTTCCTTTGCTTTAGCGGCGTCTTCTGATTTTCTGATCAACACTGCACTCAACATTATTGCATTTGCAAAGAATAATTTTGAGTATCGCTTCAAGTCAGCATCGAGTTGGTCTCTTGAAAATATGAAGTCTGCTTTTATGCCGAAGTTAGATAAGGACTTCTCCAATTGCAAATGGTAGTAATCGATCCAATCGTGATAATGGGCACGTCTTGTTTCATAATCAGTGCAATTGAAAATCATGTAAAGAACATCACATACCGGATTAGATACTCTTGATAGCTGGTAATCAATCATTATGGCTTCAACGGGTATTTCATCCTGTGGAAAAATATAATAATTATTTTTATTTTATTTATATTAAACCAATTTCTTCTTAGAAATAGAAATTAGAGAACATCATCGTCAAATGGCTGAATTAATATATTAAGAAAATGTTTTACCAGAGGGAGACTTTGTACAAAAGTCGATTGCTTGGGTACCTCTGTCCCATTCGTGTTTCAACCGTGAAGCGGTTGTGTTTGCACGGCTGTGTTTCGGTTTGAAGGGTGGGATATGGCGTGAATTTACTAGGTACGGAGGAATAACACGTGAGTTCTCAGGAATGGCAACGCATGGGGGGTATCATGGGCGAAACAGTATACTCTGTTATGTCCATGGTACTGCTCATGTCTATAGGCGACGGTTATCACTTTCCATCAGGTGGACCGTCAGCTTGTTTGCCATTCTAAGTTGTATAAAAAAAAAGTTCTACAAATTTAATATGTTGTTTTTTTTAGGTAATATTTATAGGGAATTTTAGTTTTTAGTCAAAAAAATGCTTATATCCCCAAATCATATAATTCGCTACAAAATTGCTGTTACGTCAAGTTACAACAATTTGACTGGTGATAGATCAATAAATTATATTACCTAGATTTAGATAAAACTGGAATGATTCAAAACTACTAAATATGTATGTAGCATACATACATATAGGAATTTAGTGCAAAGATAATTATTTGGAAATTAGTTGATTATATGGTGATTATGAACAAAATTAAATCGATAAAACCACACCTTTACCGATTAGACAAGAAACTGTTCTAAAAATAGAAGGTACACAATGAAAAAAATTAAATTTACTCAAAAAAGTTCCCATTGTCGATAAAAGTATATTGTAGACTATTTATCGATAAAGCTATTTTCTTAATATCAGTTTATTTACTAGTTGTAATATTTTTAAAAACTAATTAGTAGGTTATGCAAATAGAATTAAGAGGCTTCCCTATTAAAACATCACCAAAAGCCAACCTACGGTTAACAATCCGTCTGCCAAGCATACTAACTACTGGCAAAATCTTCCTAAACTGTCTTAAGGAATTGTCCAGTTTCTTATGACAGTCTACAGAAGAGGCCTATGTTAGCAGTGGATAGATAACGGCTGATATGATGATGATAGTCTATCTTATCAAGACAATAGACAAGCTGAGAAGATATTGTTAAATTTTAATATAATATAATATTAAAATTTTACAGCTAAATAAACTTTAAATACTTTATATAAAATATTGCTTACCTTTAATTTAAACATTATATTGTTGGTCCAGCCATCACCTTGTAATACCACGGAATATTTTAGTCTTATCTCATCTTTAGTAAGCTTTTTATATAGCTCCCCTGATTTAGTTAAAGAGCCGCGAACAGCACTTATATATTTTTCATTCGTTAAAACTTCAATAGCATCATTCTCTATGGCTTCTATATACAATTTAAATTCCGGAACTTCAGTCATATTAACATAACAATCAACAAGTTTTTGTCTAATATCTTCAAATAGATCCGGTTTCTGTTTTCTCAACACTATTGATAAGGAATGAAGAGTTGCTAAATTTTTAAGATTTAGTTTAATGCATTCGTTTGAAAGAGACGTGAATCTATCAAGTATGTTAAAATCGGATTCTACTAGGTCTTCTAGAAGAATAATTTCATCTGGTTCTTCTAATAATACGCCGTAACATTCAGCGTATCGTAGTTGATCTTTTACCGGTATACCTTCGTCTTTCTGCAGTTCCACTAATGCTGGTAAAACCTCACTGTACATTATACCCTCATTACGAAACAATACTTGTGCTTGTAGTTGTGCACGTACTATTTCTTGAGACGGAGCTATTTTAGCTATAATATTAAATGTATTGCCATCATCTCCTTTAACAATAATTCTTTTTACATTGGCTATATAGTTGTCACCAGCTTTGCCTACTGTTTCTATAAGTACTTTGCTGTTAGTATATCCACGATTATGAAGCACATCACAAAGAAACTCTTGTTGTCGTATCGATAGACTATTAATTTCACCTTCAAAACTAAATTTAGTCATTGTGTAGAACTTAATTTGTTTTTATATTATATTATTATTTCCCTTTACAGCACACGAATAGTCTCACAAATGGGTACTTTGTAATTGACACATTTATCAGTTACTGCTACGTATAGACACTTATTTGGAAATAAATATTATCAACATGTCAGTTGATAATAACAAATGATTGGTACAACTGATGTGTATAAAAGGTGTAATGTAATAAAATTAAATAGATTTTATGGTACTGATAGGAATTTTAAGATGATTTTTTAAAGTTGTATGTATGAATACCAGAGGGAGACTTTGTACAAAAGTCGATTGCTTGGGTACCTCTATTCCATTCATGTTTCTACCGTGAAGCAGTTGTGTTTGCATGGCTGTGTTTCAGTTTGAAGGGTGGGATATGGCGTAAATTTACAGGGTACAGAGGCATAACATTTGAGTCCTCAGGAATGGCAACGCATGGGGGGTATCATGGGCGAAACAGTATACTCTGTTATGTCCATGGTACTGCTCATGTCTATAGGCGACGGTTACCACTTTCCATCAGGTGGGCCGTCAGCTTGTTTGCCGTACTAAGTTGTATATAAAAAAGTTGTTTTTTAATTCCTCAGGATAGAAAATATGTTTTCTAAAGGAAGAATAGTATTCTGTTGTTGTATCAGCCGTTAGCTGTTCACTGCTTAATATTATTTCCTAAATAAAGAAATTTTGCCAATAGTTGCCACGCTTGGCAGGCGGGTTGGCAACTGCAATTTGACTTTTGGTGATGGTTTAAGAGGAATACTGCTGTTCGTCTCTCCCTTGCCATAAGTTAATTGTGTATTTAAATTTAATTTTAAAACTACCATTAGTACTGTAAAGGAGTTTTTTAATGGATGATAATGGAATGGCGACCCCGCCTGCTCTATCGATATACTTACACTGGCGGGGCACCAGTGAGAGATGATAGGTGAGGATGAAAAGGCAGGTCAGTTAGTCCATCGTGACGAATTCAACGATAAATTAGTCACGATGGTTTTCAGGGGGAACCGCATGAAGGTTGACCTGATGGGGTATGTTGATAGCAATGGGGACTAACCTCTCCTTTACTAACAATCTCTCTCCCCAACTGTAACGGACTTTATTTTTTATTGGATGAAAATGAAATGGTAACTCCGCCTGCACTAACGGGTTGCGCTGGCGGGGCACCAGTGAAGGATGATCGATGAGGATGAAAACAGGCCAGTTAGCCCATCTTGATGAATTCATCTGGAATTAATCATGATAGTTTCCAGGGAGAATCGCGAGGAGGTCGACCTGGTTGGGTATATTGCTAGCAATGGGATTCTCAGTCTTTATTACTAACAATCTCTCCCCCTCAACTGTAAAGGACTGTCCCTTATAGTAATAATAGCCTATGATAGTCTACATCAATCCTGTGTGTGTAATTACAGATATTGTTTGTTGGTTAATCTGGTTTGATTAGGTATAATATTATATCTTTAGTGGCAGATAATAAACGGATTTGCGTATCTATACTAAGAAAGGTAAATGCATTGTATATAGTATAATTTAATGTATCCTTTTGTGAATTTGATAATTAATGATTAAATGTAGATAAAAATCGAGACCTATAGTAAATTTATTATGTTACAATCACGCCACATTTCACTGGGTATTTATCATTATGACAGTAAATGGATAAAGACATACTCTCTACTGAGATATTCCATCAACTCTCTTCTAAACTTAATTCTCTACTTCCTTATTCTCTATTGGGCCTCTTTTTTCTTCTACTGTTTAAACTATTCATAATATTTTGCATCACCTGCTTTATGTATTTATTTAAATATAAATATAATTGTGTGTATCCATGTAAAGATAATTTCAATATAATTCGCCGAATCGACATCTTGTGCAATGCTGTCTATCCTGTATAAACTTTATTTTAAAAAATAGTCTAAATTTTTCTCAATTTCATATAGAACGTGTATACTAAATTTCGTAGTGATTGGTTGAACGATTTAGGTGCTATAAAGGTAACAAACAAACAAACTCACTTTCACATTTATTAGTAAGGATTCAACATAATTTATATATAGTTAATACAGGGTGAATATATTTTTAAATATATTAAAATAATACCAGGTTAAATTATATAAAACTTTTTCATCGCCAGTCAACTGATAATGTAAAGAGACCCGTGGGATTTGGGGAGTGAGTTAGAAATATTAATGTGAAAATAAACCCTTTGTGTGAATATTTGTAACAGAAATAAAAAAACGAGCAGAGCGATGCATCATATTTTTTACAAACGTTTGAATTTACGTAACCGGTAATGTAGAAATAACAGCCAAAGAAGGAGAGAAATACATATAAATCAAAGGATTGCGCCCATGGGAGGCTACAGACTACGTGTAGCAAAAAATTGCAAATTTCTCTCGTGTACGTACTGGTAAATATTCATACGAAAACAATTGTCACGTATTCGTTTTGGTGTTTTCCTTCATTTTATTTTAGTGGTTTGTGACACTGAATAAATCATGTTGCCAGATGAAAAAAAAAATGCAATAGCCATCTACGTCTTCTGAAGGTATAGTTGTCATACTATACCATACCAGTCATATATTATGAACTGCTAAATATATAGGTCTCCCCCATATTTGGCAGGTAAGTTGCCAATCGCAGTAAGACCTTTGGTGATGTTTTAAGAGGGACGCTGTTGCCCATCCCTCGACCATTTTTTTTATACAACTTAGAATGGCAAACAAGCTGACGGCCCACCTGATGGAAAATGGTAACCGTCGCCAATAGACATGAGCAGTACCATGGACATAACAGAGTATTCTGTTTCGCCCATGATACCCCCCATGCGTTGCCATTCCTGAGGACTTAGGTGTTATTCCTCTGTACCCTGTAAATTCACGACATATCCCACCCTTCAAACCGAAACACAGGCATGTAAATACAACTGCTTCACAGTAGAAACACGAATGGGACAGAGGTACCCAAGCAATCGACTTTTGTACAAAGTCTCCCTCTGGTAAAAACCATAAGTTCCTTTAGTCTTACGACATCCACGGAAAAAGAAGGGTTGGCCTATTCTATACCTATACCGGGACCTATACGGCGATAGATGCTTTATCAAATGTTAACTGACCACTGGGGAACTCTCGAATTTATAGAATCTACTGTCTTTCTAGGAATCACACTAGATAATAAAACACAATGGGGTGCACAAATTCAAAGCCTTGCAGCGAAACTAAGTTCAGCAGCTTTTGCCGTGCGTAAGGTTAGACAGTACACTGATACTGATACTGCTAGATTAGTCTATTTTAGTTATTTTCATAGTTTACTCTCTTATGGAATATTACTATGGGGAAAAGCGGCAGATATTAAGAATATATTCATATTACAAAAACGTGCCGTTCGAGCGATCTACTGTATGAAGAGTCGTGACTCATTAAGAGAGAAATTCAAAGAGGCAAATATTCTCACCGTTGCTTCTCAATTTATATATTTAAATATCCTATATGTTCATAAAAATCTTGACTTATTTCCAAAAAACAGCAATATTCATAATATTAATACTAGATTTAAAGACAAACTTGCTGTCCCCAAGTATCGTTTAGAAAAAGTTAATAGGTCTTTTATGGGAATAGGTATAAAAATTTACAATAAGATACCAAAGGATATGTTGGAATTACCCTTAAATAAATTCAAAATATCTGTTAAATCATATTTACTGAGCAAAGCCTATTACTCACTAAACGATTACTTGAATGACGAGTGTGCATGGCAATAGTTGTTCATGCACTGCATTTTCATTTAATGTTAGACATAGACACCTATATAAATATACATTGTAAATAAACTGGCTTTAAAAAAAAAAAGTAATTCAATTGAGTTTCTTGCCAGTTCTTCTCAATTGGATCTATATACCGAACTGGACGGTAGGGAAAAAAATAAAATTATAATGTAAAAATTTGACGTTCATAAGCGGCTAAAATGTCCTACATGAATAAATGATTTTTGAATTTGAATTTGAATTTGAACATAGACCCTATATATAAAGGAGTTTTACCAGTAGTTGCCATGCTTGGCAGGCAGGTTGGCAATTGTAATGTCTTTAGTGATGTTTGAAGAGACGCTGCTGTTCATCCATCGACCATCAAGTTTCCTTAATCACCTCTTACTATATCCACGTGTATAGATGGTGTGAATAAGAATTATTCGTGTTAAATCATTTTAGTCTACGAGATTGGATAAATAATCGGAATAAAATAGTAAAAGTTGTCACGAAGAGCAGACTTCGTCATCACTTATCATCAACATAGGTTATATAATGTCATCATATACCGAAACCCTGCTAGCGGATACCAATAGTGCAGGTGGGATTACCATCCCATTTTCATGTTATAAAAAGAGACCTTACTTTGATTATATTTTGATAAAAAATCCATAATTTTTTTAATTCATATTTTGATAGAAATTTCATAATAAAATTTAAAAACGTGTTCTACGTGGATGACCCTCATTCGTGTATGAAGGAGATATGAGATAACATTCGAATACACACGAATTGATAACTTCTTTATAGATTTGTCATTGACCGCAAACATATTCATTGAAACTAAACTATAACAACAACTTTGTTAGAGTTTAGAAAAATTCAATTTGTTTAGCAGATGTATGTAGCTTGTTTTTAATTCGGACCATTATTCATGTATTTATTTATATATATTCATGTATTTATTTATATATATATGTACCTAACCAGGTAATTTTCAACGCTTATGTTTTATTTTTAATGTTTTTTTAAGTACGTATGATATTTTAATTGTCTTGTAGACAACTTTCGTGTCCGTACCCATCCATTTCTTTTCGTTTTTTTTTTAACAAATGCAGTAAAGAATATATATAAAAATAACCGGATTGACATACGTATATTTTAATAGAGTTATTTTATAATTTTATTGTGATTTTTGCATAATGAAGTATAAAAAGTTTATTTTATTTTCTTTAAATTTTATACTCATATAATATATAAAAATATTGCCGTGTAGTCTCGATATAGAATGGGTGACACCTTCCTTTTTCGTGGGTGTCGTAAGAGGCGACTAAGGAACCTTATTGGCCGAGGGATGAGCAGCAGCGTTCCTCTTAAAATATCATCAAAATTTAACTGCGGTCGTTAACCCACCTGTTAAACATGTTTTGTAACTACTTGCAAAACCTATGTTCAGCAATGGACAGTTAATGGCTGATAAGATGAATTATAAATACAGTAACAGAAAATATACAGTGATCAATAGCGAACTTATTCCTGACTGACTTACATTAGTCAATATTTGATACACTGTAAGATGAATTTGAGGAAAATGAAGTAATACATTTTAAATAAACAGGTTTATTTAAATATCGACATTTAAAATTACTGACTAATAAAGTGTAACTTAAAATACATATAGGTACGGCCCCTTTTAGGGTTACGTAGAAAAATGACCATTTAAAAACAGTCGAAGATTTGCCGTTAAAAAATAAATAAAAAGTAAAAAAAAATATTGAACAAATACGGTAGTACTAAAAATATATTTTACAAGCTATCCTTGCGAATTACGTACCGCGTAACAATCAAATAATATCGTATTAACTTTTATCCTGAATTTTTACGATATATTAATAATTATTCTGCTACTGTGAGCGGAGACGAATCCAACAAATCAGAGATCATTAAAATCATTCTATCCGTTCTTGAGTTATAAATGGTTTGAGTTTGTTTTACGTATTTAGAATATTTAGACCAGTGAAAATAGTAAAATAATTAATATAATAACTTCGGCTTTGGTTTCACAACAATAGATATTCAGTGGTGTTCTTGTATGTATAGTACTTTGAATATAAATAAGATAACATACGGCTTGTAGTCAATAAATGTAAATAAGATAAGTATTATATTGTTATGTCCTAAATTATTCGCTATCAATAATACTGTTTCATTATAATGTATAAAGTGTAAATTGACATATATATATAGTTACATAATGTAGTTAGTACTCTATATCACCACTAATTACTCACAATTGCCATTTCATGCAATGTATCCCAGATCGCGGTAGGAATCTACCAATCCTTCTATTCTCCTCCTGAATCTTGAAAGAGAATCGTTGTCTAAGTCTTTCATTTGAAAACTTTCCACAACTTTCTCCATGTCTGTTGAGTTTTTCATCGCATCATGTAACTTTGCAGCGTCTTCTGATTTTCTGATCAACATAGTACTCATCATTACTGATGTTCCAAAGAATAACTTTGAATATCTTTTCAAATCAGCATCGAGTTGTTCTCTCGAAAATATGAAGTCAGCTTTTATGCCGAAGTTTGATAAAGACTCCTCCAATTGCAAATGGTAGTAATCGATCCAATCGTGATAATGGGCACGTCTTGTTTCATAATCAGTGCAGTTGAAAATCATGTAAAGGATATCACATACTGGATTAGATACTCTTGACATTTGGTAATCAATCATTATGGCTTCAACAGGGATTTCGTCCTGTGAAAAAAATAATAGGTTGAGTTAAAAATTAACATTAGGAAATATTGGCATCATATCAGTCGTCAACTGTGTACTGATAAACATAAGTCTTCCCCATAAGGGAGAGTTTTGCCAGTACTTTCTGTGCTTGGCAGGTGGGTTGGCAAATGCAGTTAGACTTTTAGTGATGTTTTAATATGGACAGTGCTGCCCATTTCCGACTACTAAGTTTCCTTAGTCACCTCTTACGACACCCACGGAAAAAAGGTAGCCTATTCGAAGCCGGGACGATACAGCGATTATTAAATACATATATGTATGATAAATACATGAAATATCTGAAAGACGATTACATTTTTATACTTCATGCATGGTAAAATTGGCAGCTAAAATTTTGACACTAAATTAAATTTTTGAGTGACGTTTTTGGTGTCTTAGACATTAACATCATAAATGATCATTGTTTAATGATATATTTACATAGTATAAAACAAAGTCGCTTCCCATATGTCTATTCCTATGTATGGTTAGATTAAAGCAACTCAACGAATTTTGATGCGATTTTTTTAATAGTTAGAGTGATTCAAGAGGAAGGTTTATATGTATAATAAATACATGCAAAATATAGTAGAGAAACACTGATAATTTTAGAGGTTTTTAATATGCCGGCCAGCTGGCGCTATTTAATATCAGCATTGCACCCGTGTCAAACCGGGGCGGTTCGCTAGTTTACTTATAAATAGTTGTTTTGTCGAGAATAGTCTGTGAAACTATGTGAATTTATATGTGCAAGGTATACTGAATGCAAATACTTTATAAAAAAAGGGCCATAATATACATCAACAGTAAGTAACATATGATAATCTGCGTCATGGAGGTCAGAGCAATAAAGGATGCGCTTTCACGAATAAGGGCCATTCAGTATTCCTATTTTAGACTTTCACTGTCAGCTTTGGCTCAACCGTAAACTGATCTAATGACAGAATGTTACATATCTTTAATTCTAATGGAATATATTTTTAAAACGTATTTATATTTTTAATACATACCTGTAATTTAAACATTATATTATTAGTCCAACCATCTCCTTGTATTATAACTGAGTATTTTAGTTTCTCATCACCTTTGATAATTTTTCCATATAACTCTAACATGTTAGATAAGGAGCCACGAATAGCATTTTTATATTTACTATTGTTCATAATTTCAATCGCATCGTTTTCCATAGCTGTTAGGTAGGATTTGAATTCAGGTATGTCGATCATAATTTTGAAACTATCAATAAGTTTTTTATAGTAGCCCTCGAACACGTCCGGATTCTGTTTTTTCGTCACCAACGACAAAGAATGAAGAATTGCCAAATTTTTAAGACTGAGTTTGATACATTGATTCGTAAGGGATGTAAATCTATCGAGCATTCTGAAATCTGATTCTAGTAGATCTTCTAAAAGAATAATTTCATCTGGTTCGTCTAGTAATATACCATAGCACTCTGCGTATTGCAGCTGGTCTTCTACTGGAACACCTTCCGCTCTTTGGAGTTCTACAAATTGTGGCAGAACTTCACTATACATTACGGCCTCATTACGGAATAATAAATATGCTTGCATTTGAACTCGCATCATCTCTTGGGTCGGAGCTATTTTAGCTATAATTTTGAATATGCTGCCGTCTCTTCCTTCAACAGTAATTCTCTTTACACTAGCTACATAATTATCACCAGCTTTGCCTACAGCTTCTATGACCACTTTGCCTTCAGTATATCCACGATCTTTGAGTACTTCACGAAGAAATTCTTGTTGTTTTGCAGACAGACTGTTTACGTCACCTTCAAAACTAAATTCAGACATTTTTGCTAGCGTATATATTATTATTAGCGTATATTAAATTTGTTGTATAGATTTACGAATACCGTTAGCAACTGACCAATTTATCAGCTGTTGCTTCTATATAAACATTTATTCGTATGTAGATAATGTCACCTCTCAATAATTATGATAATGGCATTAGCTTAGTACAAAGTTAAAAAGCATAATACAATTTACAATTTAACATATGCATTTCTTTTGCAGTTTCTATAAGTTAGTTATGGTACTTCATACTAGATATTTTCTAAAACTATCGCTGTCTTGCTTATTTATTTTGTGAAATATTAATGTTTATGTTGCATTTCATTCGGTAGATTATGTCACTCAGAGAGTTTTTAACATTAAAGCTAACACATCTACTTTTCTGGTTTAGTGCTTTCTTAACAGGCTTAATTTGTAGAATAATTCAATCTATAGATACTATAAAATTATAAAATCCGAAGAGACAGAGATCGTATCTTTTTTAAAAAAATCATATAATAAAATCACAAACAAGTACTAACTAATGTAAATACCACAAACTGGAGGAAGAGGGAACAGATTGCTAGTAATTAGGGGGTTAGTTCTCATTAGTATCAATATATCCGCGTGAAAGTCAGGTCGACCTTCACGCGGTATTCCTGGAAACCATCATTGTTAGTCGATCAGCTGACATGGTTCCATTCTTATCATTTATCCATTCAATGGTATCCGCCAGCGTATACCGATAGTGCAGGTGAGCTTATCATTTCATTGTATTTTCACCTTATCAAAATACGACAAATTGTACTTTTTTAAAACTTTTTTTTTTGTAATAACACCGAACGCGCTAAATACATAACCGCTATGTATAGTGTAATCACTTCGTTGTGCATAACATTTAGAGAACAGGGCACATTTTTATCGGAATTATGTTGACATTAATTTGCGTTGAATTAAAAGAGTCTGAGAAATAATATCAGTTGTTATTAAACAGCAATAAAAACTTACATCGCAACCAGATTATATCAGCCCGTCAATAAAGATAAATAATAAAAAGTTTGTAAGTAATAATATTGATATAAAATTAGTTTGTGTAATGCTTACTTTACAGTTTTGTTCTGAACATCCGTATAGGCCATAATAAGAACACACAGATATATAGTAACTATCTTCTATGGTTCCGTAGCTCCATAATACGTAACTATTTTTATTAATAAGAATAAATATTATTATTATTCTTTGTTTATATAGTTTACATAGATTCGTTTATATTTATATGTGTATCTATATATTGTTTAAACCCTACAAAATCCTTTTTTCTTTTGGGTTCTCAAGGTTGACTGGAAAAAAATCCTTTAAGGAATAAGTCCCTCTGGGTACATTTTAGTAATATATCTAATATCTATATTGTAAGTGAATGTACAAAAACATAAATAAATAAATATAAATTTACGGTATGTTAAAGGCATAATTTTTGTTTTAATAGCAACCTCGCCTACGCTAACGCTATTCGCTGGCGGGGCATCAGTGAGGGATGATAAGTGAGGATGTAAAGCCAGGTTAGTTAGCCTATCGTGGTGAATACACTTGGAATTTATCAGGATGGTTTCCAGGGGGACCCGCAGATAGGTCTACCTGACAGGGTATATTGCTAGCAATAGGACTAGTAATCTACATTACTAACAATCCCCTCTCCCCATATTCAGTCCATAGTACTAATCATGTCTATGGCTATGTTCTCGTTTAGACGTTTTATAAAATGGGCTGGTAACTTGTTTGTCATTCTAAGTTTTTTTTTTTAATTTTAGTACGACATGTGACCTCATCATTCTGAGTGAACGCAGAGACATGTTCCATGAATATGATCAAGCGAAAAGAGTATAATTTTATTCTCAACGGTTGACCGCGCTGTACCGGCTTACTAAATGCTTTTTCACGCTACATTTGACGAATCCGAGGCCTTCATCCTATAGGATGAAGGAAACACGTCTCGAGAAAGGCCATTCCATATTGTTACAGTAGTAGTAGAAAGAAAGAATTGCTAAAATAAAATCATCATCACCATACCAGCTGTTAACTGTTCACTTGAATATAGACCCTTGGGGTATTTTGTCAGCAGTTGCCATGCTTGGTAGGCGGGTTGGAACTTGTAGGTAGGCTTTAGTGATATTTAAAGAGGGACTCGCTACCCATCCCTCGACCATAAAATTTTCATTTCATTTTACAATTTTCATAATTTTTCTATATACAACTTAGAATGGCAAACAAGCTGACGGCCCACCTGATGGAAAGTGGTAACCGTCGCCTATAGACATGAACAGTACCATGGACATAACAGAGTATACTGTTTCGCCCATGATACTCCCCTATACCCTGTAAATTTGTACATGTTATTCCTCTATACCCTGTAAATTCACGCCATATCCCACCCTTTAAGCTGAAACACAGCCATGCAAACACAATTGCTTCACGGTAGAAAGGTAGGCTTCCTAAGTTGCCTCTTACGACACCCATGGGAAAAGAAGGGTAAAATAAAATAATTCGATCTAATCACATTTATAATTTACCTAAATTTTTTCCAAGTATTTACATAATTTAGACATTACTACTATTGACTCACGACTTCTTTTGCATAACAGAGTTAAGTAGCTTATGTTCTTCTTCGTTCCATTCACTACGAATACTCAAATTTTATAACGATTAGTAGATCAGTTAAATCGCAAGATGTTAGTATCAAGTAAAAAAACATACTTTCACATTTATAATATTAATAAGGATTAATAAAGACGCACTCCAATATATTCGATTTTTTTTTAACATTTTTTATATTACCATTGACTATTTACCTGCTTTTTTTTGCTAAATATAAAAACGATTCCTTCCCATAGCGATTCACATGGGAAAGTTTACTGTCACATGAGAAACGTCCTTGTTCAGTGACCTCCCGCGATATGGCGGACAAAAAATACGTAGATTAGGTACCTACCGTGAGAATTTGAAATCAATAATATTATGCATGAATACTAATAATTGCAACTTTTGAAAATGGATTTGCTCGATCATTTTTGATATAATAAAGATTGTGTCCCCACAAAAAAGCGACTTCAGTTGTGACAAAACCAGTTAATTTGGTCTAAAAATTAAACTAATTAACTGATTTTGATAAATATTCTATGGGACCAATCTATAACTAAATCCCTTCACATAAATAAAATTCCAAATCGGTTTACAACTGACGGAGTTATGAAGTAACAAACTTAAAAAAAAAAATACAACCGAAACGATAATCTCCTTTTTGCAGTCGGTTGGAAACATACACTAGCTTTTAAGTTGGCTAATTTCAGTGGAATCTGTTTAGCTCATTTTTCGTAACTGTCTAATAAATAGACTGACAGCTCATTTGGATTCCTTCTTGATAATTCATGACCTTTACTATTTATATTACTGTATTGTTACTGGTGACTTATAATACAAGTTTAATACCTAGTACAGGTACTAGTACAGTTCCCATAAATACTCGTAATATTGCTAAAATGTTCCACATATTATAGATAGTTTTAATGGATGATAATGGAATGGTAAACCCGTCTACGCTACGGTATACACTGGCGAGGTACCTGTGAAAGATGATAGGTGAGAATAAAAAGGCAAGTCAGTTAGTGCATCGTAATTTATACATCTGGAATTCAGCACTATAGTTTCCAGGGGGGGACTATGTAGTCCCATTGACTGGTAGGCGGCATTACTAACAATATCCCCCCTCCCCCTATTATAGATAGTAAGTTCCTTAGAGTTTGGGTTGTGGAGTAAATAAATATATTATTATTATTATATTATACGCAACCTAAGGTAATTAGGAGGGAAGGGATTGTTAGTAATGGGGACTACCTATTGCTAGTAATATACCCTGTCAGGTCGACTTTCCCGTAGTCCCCCCTGGAAACCATCGTGCTGAATGCCAGGTGTATCCATCGCGATAGGCTAACTAACCTGCCTTTTCATTCTTACCTATCATCCTTTGTTAGTGCTCAGCCAGCGTATACCGTTAGCGCAGGTGGGGTTACCATTTCATTATCATCCATTAAAAAAAAAGCTAATTAGGATAAAATGTCTTCTGTGTTAGTAGGTCTGTGATAATGAAACTTACCTGTGTACTATATTTCATTCGAATCCATTTATGAGTGACTACTTCTACTTCTTCTACTAATCATGCTTATAATACTCATTCAAATACATTTCTCCAGTATTTTACATTTTTATATTAAAAATTTCATAAGGTATTCAATGTTGGTATTTTATTATTAACACACCATAACGATATTATTTATTGTACCTATAAGCACATTAATGTAATCCATGGCACGCGTCGGCACCCTGCAATTATCTCAACAATTCCCATGAAATTTGCTTCCCATAGGAAATGCTCCATTTGTGGGAACCCTTAAGATAAATGCGCTATTGAGTGAATTTATACCTTACGTATTTCTATTACAGAGCTTAATTTTGAGTTTGCAATATAGCTTTTCTGCCGTTTAATGCATTTTGTTGATATAATTGTTATTTTATTATTATGTTTAGAGTTTGTATGTGAATTATGAGATTATTATGTTGAGGCAACGGAATTGCCGTATCTTTAATAATATTTTTACTGCTGGACATTAGCTTCCCTCATAAGGTGAGTTTTGCTAGTAGTTGCCACGTTTGGTGGGTTGGTTGGCACTCAGGGTTTGTTGATATTTAAGAGAGGTTGCTGCCCATCCTTCGGGCATTAAGTTCTCTTAGTCGTCTCTTACAACGGGAAAAGAAAGGGTGGCCCATTCTATGCTGGGACCAAAGCGCAATAAAAATTTAAATTAATAATAATTCTTTTACTTTAGACAATATATATTTAAATTCATATTGAACTTTCAGAATGACATTCATAATGTATGTATATATATCATATTATCTAATGATAATATTATATAGAATATCATGTATATAATATTATGTTTAGGCGATTTCTAAAAGCAGGAATTTCTAAATACATCTGTATTTTTTGGATCTACGTTGTTAGCTTTGCCAATTCTGAATCGATTTTAATTATTATTTTTGGAAGTCCATATACTTTT